ATTTGGGGGCTGTTATACATATAGTATATTAACTGATTAATACTCTTAAATTTTAGGAAATTGTTGTTATTAAGTGAACAAAGGTAAAAAGAAATAGGTGTTGAATTTATGTATGAATAAATATTTTAAGCAGATAAGTCCTATCTTATCTCCTCCCAAATAATTCCTCGAAAATGTCTTTTAAAATTGTATATAATTTATTAAATAACTAATCATATATCATAAGTACACAATATACTCCCAGACCTTACAAATTTGAAGCTAAATATATTTTGAAATTAAATTCCAATCCAATCTATCTCATTTCCTACCTCTCTATTTTCAGTAAGTTCAAAAAAATTTCATAATCAACATTTTTCTACCCTAGACGAGCACACACACTCTCCTCTCCCCGCTGCAACTCCCCAAAGCTTTTTGGCTTAAAATGTTAATTGGACGCTGAAATGTTAAATTAGTAAAAAGCAAAACGGGACAGCAAAGAAAAATAACAAAGAAAAAATAAATTTAAGCCCCATGCCCGCCGCCCACAGCAGTTATGAAAAATGTCAGTTGGGATGATGGCAGCCAGCGGAGAGGCGACAGGGGGGAGGAACTTCCGGGACAGTGGGCCAGAGGGGCACCCTCAACGCTCATTTCATTATGCATAAATTATGAAATTACGCAGAAAATAAATAAAAGTAAAGCATCACCCAGTTTTGTGCGGTGTGTTCTGCCATTGAGTTCCTCAAGCAAGGATGCCCATTTATCTTTTGATTTTATGAGAAAGTATTTTTATATTGCATTATATTATGGGACATTATTTAATATATATATCAAAATATTTAATAATATATAAGAAATTAATATAAAATATATATATTTATATCCTATACTGAATAATTTAGTAACTAATATATTTAAAATATCACTAAGATAACTGTATCATCGTAATATTTACATGAGAATATTGTTCGTCAAAATAATTTAATATAAATTAGAATCACCGTTAAATGGATTAAAAAACTGGTAGTTAAACTACTTAATTTCTTCAAATACGTTTCCTGTATAAACAAAAACTTCAAGTGAGCCGATAAAATATTTCAACAAATTGGAAACCTTAACAAAAAATATATAAAAACAAAACCCTATAAAGTTTTAAATTTTTTATATTGTTAAGTAATCCAATTTTTGGCATCACTGCCTCGTAAGAGTACTTTTTTTAGAGAGGTGAAAATAAAAAGAATTATTAAGCCATTTACGTGCCTTTGTTTTAATTTGCTGCATTTTGCAATTTCAACTGTGATTTTGAGTGATGGCTGAATGGAATGAGGGGAGGGGTCATTGAAATTCCAGGTGAGTTGGGGCGTTGTTCGTGGGCAGGTGGTTTAAGCACCTGTCAGCCATGCGCCAGTTACGACGGCTGTAAACTGGTCGAAAGTCATCATGTGGCTTACGGCTGAATTAAACTGGCCATGTCCAGGGTAAAATTTAATTGATTGCCAATGGGTAATGGTAATGTTTGTAGAAATTACATTGCAGGTTAACTGATGAGAGGCTTACGATGAGGAGTCATAAATCAAAGCAAATCCTAATCTGTGTTACCTGAACTTGTGGGAGAGTATTAACAAAGCTATACTAAGGACTCTACTTCAAGCATTTAATGATAAATATAGTTTATTTGCCTTAATGCATTGAATTTGTTCTTGTTTTAGGATTCATTCTGTAAAGTTACAAAACATAAAGTGTAAATTAAATTTAGCTGAGACCAGCAAGTGAGAGCACTTAATGAAAAAATATACTACCTTGGAAGGTATCGTAAAAGGTTCTCAATCATTGATGCAGCATCAATGGAAATTAAATTCAAACAATTTCAATTTGATTTCATCAGGCCATCAGTCTGTCCAGGTGCTTAACGTGCGAATCGTAAATGAATTTTACGATTGATCGAATTTCCCAATTTAATGAGGGCATAAAACGTACAAAAAAAGCAGGTGAGAGGAGTATTAATGAAGAAGGCGGACAAGGCACAAGGTCCAGTCTTAGAAGGATTAAGGATTTATTAAGAAATGCATTTGGCTGGAAGTTCGCGCAAAGAGGAAGCTCTCCGGAAAAACCGGATGGAGGAGCTAAGCAAATGAAAAGCAACTCAAGACAAAGTAATCAATGATTTTTTTTTTTGTACAAAGGAATTCAAACGAGCTGCTAAACTGATTTACAGTATTCAAAAAGATGATGATGATGGCGGAAAATCCAAGGAGAAGTATTCAAATTAATGATTACACTTCCAAGAAGATAGTGTTGAGTGAGCAAAAGAAAAGGTAGTGGAAATATCAAGGATATATTAAAAAACTGATGCACAAAGGGACTGGCTGCTTGAATTCATGCATAATTCATTGGAAAGCAAAGAAATAAGAATCTCGTAGAAAAATATCAACTTTCCAAACCCAAGGTTGGCATCGGGAATTTGCATCCAAACAACAACAAAAACATAAATAAAACCCACAAAAGTGCAGACATCTTTATCAGCTAAGCAGCAAACACGAGACAATGAAAGCACTCTAGCAGATGTTTTGCCACTCATTTCAAATGCATTTCAATTAAATGCAATAAATTAAATATAAATCTAGCACGAACTATCTAACCATTTGGTTGCAGTCCCATATGCCTTACCCATGACCCCCCCGAAAAATGTTGCATAATTAATTAGCCAAGCAAAAGCATGTGGCGAGTGAACAAGGTCAACACCAGAATTCATTTCGCCTACGAAGACTGCAAATTATGCAGAAAATAAGATGCGAACATATGTTGCAAAATAGTTTTTTAATTAATGAGGGTCGTTAACTTAATACCCTTAATTTAAAGCAGAACTTAAATGTAGAAGATGGTATTTTAAAAAATTATTAATTTGGGATTTTTTAACTATTGATATATTTATAACGTTTGGTTTACGGACAGACAATATCATAGTTCTGCGTTAACAGCTCTTTAACAGTGTCGTGTATAAGACTGTACAGAAGTCTTATAAACTATGTTAAATATGTTGTATCAGGGTTTTGTAAAGGATTTAAATAGTTATATATTTAAGCAGGTAGTATTATTTTACTAGGAAAGAAAATTTAAAGCATTTGGCGTTTTTGATAAGTTATAAAGAAATCTCAAGCACATCATCATATAAAATTTAAATATATTTGTATTAATATTCTGCTTAATATAAAGTAAATTTATACTATACTAGTATAATACTAAAATATTCAGGGTACAAATAATTAAGGAAAATTAAACAATGCTCAGATTCCTTTTTGACCCCTTAACCATCCTGACACACCCATTAACACCCTCTAATTCCACCCACGCGTTTTGCTTACAAAGCTCTTGAATGCCTTAAAGGGTTCCTGTTCTGAATGCAAGCTTTATACCCACGCAGCCCCAAAAACGGACCCACAAGCGGCATCCCTCATTCTAGTATCATATTAAACAATAAAGAAAGATAACCGAATTTGTATACACTCGCAGGGACCAAAATTGAAATCGATTATAACTTAGCGAAAAATCCATTGATTTCAAATCGGAAAGAAGTTCTGTGTTCATTTTCATTCAATAAACAAAACTGCATTTTCAATTAAAAATGTAAAAAACTTACATTTTTGACAATTTGGACGATGTAAACCCTTATAAAATTTTGGCAAAACAAATTTTTTTAAATATATTTTTAGATGGATAGGTTGGAAATGACTCCTTCACTATATGGCAACCTTCTGACTAAAATTAGAATACCCTGCTAGGGTATAATAAGGTCCATCAAGCAGTCTTTTGGCTGCTGACAAACAAGAAGGATGATGACTTCAAGTGACTCAATCTTTGGCTGACAGCGAACTCAATTCTAAAGCATTTTAATTGCTGTCTCGACTGGCGCTGCTGCTGGCTCAGCGTTAGCTTTAGCTTTAGCTCTGCCATTTGCCCCGATGCATATGGAATAAAAGGGCATAAATATGTTGACCTTGCACTCGGTCGGTTAGAAAGTGAAAGGGAACTGGCTGCCTGGCGGCTGAGAGGAGAATTTGCATAATTTGCATGCAGTGCGCAGGCAGAGGCAATGCAATTGCACTCAAACCAAGCATGGAATCTGGTTGTTAGCAAAACTTGCTGACAAATTGTGGCCCAGTCAACACCTCAAATCCCAAAGCCACCCAAAGAGTTTTAGCCTTATTCCTTCTCCGTCTGTGCGACGTCTATGCGAATTTTCTGGCGAAAAGGACTAAGGAGAAGGACGACTACTACGACGACAATGTTGGCGACGCTGTTGACGACTTTTGCCATTGAGACAGCCAAAGTTTTTATGGCAATTTTCAGCAGAGCCAGACATCTGAAGGGGGGTTCTTCTTTGCCCTCCTTGTTGGTAGTTGCATGAATACGGGAATTTTAACATAAATTGCAACCAAGTTACACGTTTTCTTTTCTCCGCATTTTCCACATAGGCCCGGGCCTCGTATAAAGTGGAAAAGTTTGCGATGAAAGAAATCATGTTAAAGTGTCATGAATAGACTGTTGCTAAATGCATTTAAACTTAATGGGAATTGCATTTATATTATTGCCATTTGGAACTTTGTAATATTCAGTCCGAGAAAGTAAATCTAGAAAATATGATACCTAGTACCTAAATGGATTATCCAAAGAATTTTACTAGTTTTGAAAAATATATTTGGCCAAAAGGGCAGCACATAGCTATGAAATTCCATAAACATTGAATTATTCCTTCCTAGAAATTAAGCATGTAAAATATAACAATGTAAAGAATCTTCTAGACAAGCTACTGTTCTTGAAACATAATAGAAGTTAATTTGAAAATCGTAGAAAAATGGAAAAAAAAATGGAAATTTAAAAGCTAGTTTCATAAGCTGGGGCTTATCTAGTATACAGTCTTATTTTAAATCAAATTCAAGCTATAGGAAATTTATGATAACTAAAATTTTACTGAAACAATTACATAGCATAATAAAACGTATTTAATTTTCAAGACTTACCTCAATTAGCATTCTTTATCATTGCCATAAATTGTTCTTTCCGCTTTAGTCATCCTTTTTCCCATCAATGTGTGAAAATGGTGCAGAGGAAAACAAACTATCAAAAGCTCAATATGTGTACAGGACACTTGTTTCGGATTCTGTCCTTTGGCCAGCTGTAAAACGGAGCTGTAGAAGACAAAAAAATATGAGTAAAAACTCGCAGAAATGTCAGCACACACTGACAGTGGCAGGGGGAAGGAAAACAAACCGAATGCACAGATTTCATCCAGCTCAATTTTGCAGGATTTACCGGATCGCCAGGACTTCAACGAAGCCCAGGACCTGCTCTCCGACCCGGACAGGTGTCCTGCCGCATCCATTAGACGACCCTTAGCTGAGCTTTTAAGCAGCATGCCCGGAAGCCTTTCACAGGGGGCTAGAGACGTTACAAGCGAGTATGAAAGCATCAGTATCCAGGATGTCCAGGTTGCAGTTTGAAATTTTTATGACCCGGCTACCCATGGCCAAAGGTGTGCGGAGGAGGAGTCGGGTCGATATAGTCTCCGTCATCCATCTATTCGTTGGGCATCTATGGAAGGTGTCCGGTTGATTGCTCCCTGGCTCTGGCTTTGGCTCTGGCTCTGGCTCCTGCTCCGACTGGGACTGGCAGTTGGCTTTCGGTTTCACACTGTGCAAAGCAAATAACATTTTTACAGTCGGTCTTTGATTTGATTTTGAGAGTGCTAACCTGATGGATGCGAATCCCTTGCTCCCTGGCATCGGTGTCCATAGAAGTCACCGCCGCTTTGGTTGAAACTTTGTGGCAATTTTTATTTTAAACTGGCAATCCTTTTTGCGCAAAAAGAAACTTTCTTTGGGGTTTCCTGCATTTCGGGCATCGCCACGCCGTCGTCCTCCATCGGACTTAATTAAGTTTTAGCCCTGGCCCGCTGATGCTCTGATGCCACTGCTCTGTGGCACTGTGGCATTGTTTACATGCCAGCAAAATGCCCAAGCTGCGAAAAAAGAAAAACAAAATAAATATAAATAAAAGCTGGAAAGTTGAAAATGTAGCAAAGTAGGAAAAGAGATTTAAAGGGTAGAGAATAGGGCATGCTCTTTTAAGTTGCAACTTATTAAAGTTTCGTTCAGGCAATTATATTATGCAAAAAAAATGTATTAAATAATGCTTAATTCGCTAACTAATTAAGCCATTCCGTGAAAAATTAAACACATATATGTTCAGTTCTGTGGAAATCTCTTAAAAATACCAAGTTAATAAGTATTGTAACCACAAAATTACATTTAAATGATGATAGATGTATGTTATGCTTAATACGTTAACTTTTTGATTCGGAGAAATATTATACCCCTTTTAATTATTAAGTTCTTGGGAAAAATAACTCATAACAATGAAAATGTTATTAAATTAGCCACAAAATTGGAATATGGATCAAAGTTGTCTAAATTCGTTAACAACTAATTTCAGCTATGAAATCCACACCTTTCAATCTGTTATGTTCGTTGGAAAAATACCTCATACATACTTAAATTGCTTCGCAGAAAATGATAAATAAATATTTATATCAATTATGAAACAACTGCTGAATTAAATTTCTAACGAAATTTAAATAACTCTAACCGCAGTGAAATTTTTATGCAAATTAAAGATAGACAAATCAACCAAAGAACGATCCCAGGACTCCTGGTTAAATAATTATTGTATAGCTTCTCGTTTGAAGCACCTTCTAATTGCCTTTGTTAATTTGCTGGCATATTTCAACTGGGAGCAGCTTTAAATTGCAAGTAGAGAGACAGGAGCGAGACCAAAGTGTAGGTGGAAACCAAAACCTAAACCAAAGCGGACAATGAAGCGTGAAAAACGGAAACGGAAATTAAGTGACTGCAGTGAGGGACTGGCCAGCAGTGGACACATTGCTCCAAGCGTCTGGCTCCAGCTCCGGTGGCAGGACACCATCGCCGTTGCCTTTGCCGTTGTCGCCATTGTCGCGTCACTTGCCACGCGATGTGCACTCCATTGTGCACTTGGTTTGGCGCGGAGACAACGACAACAGCTATGTGGAAAGGCTTAAGGGTCGAATGGAGGCGGTTTCCCCGGGACTCCACTGTACGGTCTGCCCTGCGTTTGACTGCTGCAAATTGCTGGACACTATGGCATAGTTTGTTTGTTCTTTTCTTTTTTTTGGTTTGACTTTTTTGCTGCCGCGCTCCCTGGGGCTTGAGTTGAGGATATATTGAAGATTTCAAGGCACGCAAAAAATATTTAAATGGTTAGGAACGTTCCAGAAAATATACCTTTAGTAAAGTAATAAGTTACCTAGGACTACAGTAAAAAAGGATAACAAGTACCTGATTTTAACTAATCAAGCTTAGGCACTTTTGCAAATTTTATGATCCGCAGATGTTTTGCAGCCCATATGTTTTAAAGCCCATAAATGTACGTATCTAGATTAGGTATTACAAAAAATCCCAACAGCAACAGATGGTAATATTAAACCCCAAAAGGATTCATACCTGTCACAGGTAGGATAATGGCTACCTGTTACCCTTCTCTACCTTTCTACTTGTATATAAGCCTGGCTGCCCAGTGAAGTAATCATCAGTCAGCTACTGAATCTTGTCCTAGACACATCTCAGTAATTCTCAAAACTTGCCATCAAGCATCCGAACATAAAACAATCATACATTTTAAACAATTAATTAAAAACAAGAATTAAATATTCATACAAAAATCACCATGTACGACGATGAGCCCATCTCTAGCTTTGTGTTCACCAACGAGGAGACCACACAGACATTCCACCATCAATGGTTTGCCCAGGGCCAGTTGCATGAGTGCGCCACCTGCTACAGTTCCATCGATGCCGATGAGCCGCCATCACAGCATTGGCTGCGTGGAGGAGAAGCCTCCCAGGGACTGCAGTTGACGAAGCAACAACAGGCTGTCCTGGACATCATCGAAGCCCGCCAAATCGAAACTTTCTTCTTCTGCGACGAGAGCTCCAAGGATAAGCTGGACCACTTCATGGGCGAGACCTGTGCCCGAGGTGTTCCCGAGCTGCTTCGCTGGATGTTCCAGAATAATACCATCGCTGTGGAGTTCAACCTGGCCTGCTATGTGAATGCCATGGATCAGGTGCTGATCTTTCAGAGCGGCTCCCTCAAAGTGGAACATCATTTCGATGTGGAGGAGTGCGTCAGCGTGGTCTACGAGATGCTGATGCAGAGGATCGAAAACTACCTGAACTGCAACTGTGAGTACGGCATGGACGAGTGCAGCATCACCAGATTACGAGTTCAGGTCAAGCGTATACGAGTTGAAGTCGAGAGTCCTGGATCCACACCCTTCGCTCTGCCCCTGCAACTGAGACAGGAGGAGGACGGTCTGTCCACCACTACCACAAGCGAATCCGAGCTGGCCAGCCTGCGATCCGCCTACCTGAAGCACTACCGTGAATGCAATGGCTACTTTCCGCCCAATATGCGAGTGAATCTCTACGGGCTACAGCAGTGCAAGACCACCAAGGAGTTGTATGTGGTGCCCTACCATGTCAGCGAGACTCTACAACAGCTGCCCAACAAGAACTACCTGATTCTGAACAATATTATGGGTCAATTCCAACGCCTGCACGAACTCTCCACACCGGTGAAATCGATCGAAAGGGATCCATCCGGTTCCCCTGTGAAGAGCCTCCACTGCCGCCGGTGTCGTAGCCAGTTCACGAGGAGCAGCAAACTTCATATTCACCAGCAGTTGCACTGCGGCCAGGACTTCTCCGTGGACAGCATGCACGCCGACATTGTGGAGATCTACGAGCAGTGTCTGCCCATCTCGAGGAGTGTCTTTCAGTATGCCTGCTATGGCATTACCAAGCCAAAGACCGTGATGCGAAAGGGTCAGTTCGTGCCCATCGAGTGCGACTGGCGCAGCGAGAGTTCCGTGAAGGTGCAGCATGGTCCCTGTGTGGTCATCAGTAATGCCCAGCACAATAGTCCTTGTAAATTTTGTTAAATAAACGACTTAATAAGCTTAAAAAGAACACAACACGAGTTTTGAAATTTTTGGTAGAGGGAATTTTAAGGGGAAATTAAGAAATCATCATTTTACATTTATAGAAACACACAAAAAGATATAAAAAAGACATAGCTGGACCACAAATAATTATAATCCAATAAATTTGTTCCAAAGCCTTATCCTTTTCTCACCCAATTAAATCCATTAAGGCTTTAAACTTAAGCTATAAATTATCTTTCAAAGAACTTCCAACAGCTTCAGTGACACAAAGCTGTTCTCACAATAATCTGCAGAATTTGCGGATTTTCGCGCAGATTTTTATTAAAGTTTCATAGAATCAAGGGAGAAGAAAAGCATGAAAATTTGCACAGAAAAGCCAAAGAGAAAGGAAACTTTTTCGCGAATTGCCAACACAACCACACATTCCACCGCAAGCCATTTATTGCGGTTTTGTTTTGCGTGGCAAAGAGCCAAAAAAAAGGGAAATACAAAAGCAGACGGACAGATGGAAAAGTCAAAACTACCGGCTATTCCTCTTTTGGCCACTTGCTAATTAGCCAGCGGTTTTGATGCCAAAAAGTGAAAACGGACAACGAATTGGCCATTCAATATCATTGAGCTGACCGTTTACCATTAAAATTTGATTTAATTGTATTTAAAGAATGATTTTAATGAGCAATTTCAGTGCTTGATTAGTTAGTTCTGGCACGAAAATACTGATGAACTTGGAAATGTAAGCAAAAGAAGATAATTTTATAATCTTAAAACACTTCAATGTCTATTAAAATTGTGAAGAAACCCCCTTATTATGCTTTCCTACAAGTCTATAATGAGAGAATCATAAGTTAAAACGATTTTATAGTCTAGGGTGGCAGCTATCACAGACTAAATTTCTCCCAGGGACAAACGCAAGTGTCACAACACGTAAGTAAACACGTGGAAATTGGATTATTAAAACGGCGCGTGTGCGCACACGGCACAATGGCAGACGCAGACGAGGGCACCGACAAATTGGACTGGAAGTACTTCAAGACGAAGACGAAGACGACGACTAGGACGAGGACGAGGACGACCAATGTCGATTGGGTAACCAACGAGGCACAAAAAAAGCACTCCAGGAATGCGTTCGCATTTAAAATTCAACAAGCAGCAAGAAGTCCAAGTCCAAGGAGCCTTGGAATGCGCTTTAAGAGGCAGAGGCATCCATAATTCAGTCAGCTCAAGAAGGCGATGTACAGAAAGTTGGACAACAAACTGGACAACTAGAATATATGACATGGAGTACATTGATTTACTCGAGAATAAAGCCAGATTCATCATTATTATATCAGTCAAGACAAGCTTTTATCAAATAACTCGAATTATGTACATAGTTGAAAAACTAATAAATACTGAATAAAATATTGAAATCAACACCTAATCGGGTAGAGCATTCACAGCGCTGTACAAATCATATTATAACCTAAAACTCACAGAGTCAAGACTGGGTTTTGATTGCCACAGACGGCAATTGCAAGGACAGCAAGTGCAAAATATGGAAGGCTTTAAGTTTAAAGGCATTTCCCGAAGGGCCTGAGAGACTGTCAGATCGTATATCGCAAATCGATTTTCTTTCTCGGTTATGTTTTGGTTATAAATTACAAAACGAAATGACATGTCGCCCCTCGTCAAACTGGCTGGCTCCTAATAAATCGTGTGCAATTTTTACCCATGAACGTATGTACATATATTTTTTTTTTGCACTATGGACTCCGAGACTCATTATAGCCGTCACGCCCCTAATCCAAAAGCGTTGTAATAATAATTCAAATACGACGGCACATTAGTTCCGCCATTTTGGGCAGCCAGCGTACAATGAACGATGGACCAACAGGTTGTGACAAGTGGATTTAGTCGAGAATGGTGGCTTGGGCTCTTTGTAGACACTTCATAAATGTCGAGGAACGTTATTAAATGGGTATTTCATTGGAAATGGTACGCTGAGAGAAAATATAGAACTCTAATAGAAGATAAACAACAGATTAATTCGAGTATTTACTGAGATAAATATTTAACAAATTGAAAGCAAAGTCAGGAAAGCAATTGCACCTTTATTAAATAATCAAAATGATATATTAAACGATAGAAAATCTTTTTACGCTTAATTCTGTAGCTATTGTTTTCAATATTATACACACTTGTACTCTCAGTGAACGCCAAAATGATTGATAGTCAATGGAAGAGTGGAAGAGGCCTATACAGGAATTGGCAAGACATGAGCCCATAAAACGTTTTCGGGAAAATGCTCATCAAGTAGCCATACAATAAATAATAGAACAGTCAGAAACATTTGATGGAGAACCATAAAAATGCAGCTCAACCAAATAAAGAAAAAAGAAAAGAAATAGAAGCCGAGCGAAGAAGACTACACAGCAGCTTGTTCATTCAAATTGTAGCCATGTACACATAAGGAGCAGACAAAGGACATAAAGTAAATGAAGCGCCATGAGATGGGAAATGAGAGAAGTAGTGGAAACTCCCAGACGATGTGACGAGTATTTTCATTCTATTTCCATTTGTACTTTCTCGTAACTCAGTTGCCATTCAAAGGCGGAGGGCAGAGTCGCACAGTCGAAATCGAAATCAATTGTAACACACAATGAAAACAGTTTTCCTGTACAATAAATGGGCACCATACATCGGGATATATGCACTATAACAAATTCTAGACATTTGAAATTTTAAAAATTGAATTTGACTTTTAAAATAAATATATTTACATAAAAAAAGGTTCTAGAGGGCAGAAGCCTAGACTGGATTAAAATCCAAGATAAATCTAAACCCATAAATATATTGTCTGTAGTTTCGCCTACTAACAGTGGCTTCATTAGTACCATTTTTAATTTATTAAAATAGTGTTTACTTTAATGTAGATTATGTATTTTTTATAGTGTTCCCACGAGTCAGCCAAGCTTGCTTGTCCTTTAATATAAAAATAATCATTTAAGATGCCAGGACCAGCACCAATCCTCCCAGGCTCTTTCTGTCTGACACGAGTGGAACAATGAACTGACAGTGGAGTGAATTGTATGTGATTCCTGATGACTGACTGACAAGATAAGGTTTAACATCAATCGCAACTTGGCGCACTTTGGCCAATGTGTAACCTTGAAAAGCTTCAATTTCGAATGGTTATTATGTCTGGATTTTTTTTTGGGTCGGGTGTATGACATGACAATTGGGGCTTGAGTTTCTGTTTAAATAAGTGAATTTACAATGTGCGACCCAGGTCTGCCATTGAGAATCGAATGGTGTAGTGTTGAAGCGCACAGATTTACATTTTATGGATTTATATAAAGACATATTCATATATGTGAAAGAAAGACTTGAATAAATATTAAAATCAGGCAGATTTAACAATTATTTATCATATAAGAGCTTTTTTAAAATGTATTGAAAATCACGTAGTTGCTTCTTTTAAAATGATTTACTTATAATTTACCTTTAGTAAATAACAAAGAGTTCTGGAATTTATACATGAAAATAAAACATTTAATTAAATTGTTGTTTGGTAAAAGCTTCTTAAACAATATTAAACATAATTAAAGTACATTTGAAAACATTACAGAACCATTTCCTTTAATAATTAACCAAAATGCCTCACATATCACTGATTGCATCCTTTTCTGGTCGTAAAATGAAGAACTTCCTCATTTTTGTATACAAAAGGAAAATAGACAATGGAAACCAGCCAACCATCGGAATACTTCAGCTTCAGTGGCATGAATACAGATTGCGTGCAGTGACGCAAATCAACGAATATATATGGAATAGAGAAATAAAGGAATCCCTTTTATACCAAGAGTGTACAAAATTTTAATACGCGTATGAATGAATGAAAATGTCGAAAATAAAATTTCAAAAGCCTGTGAGCCGCCACACAAAGCACACACGAGGCTGAGGAAATCAGAAGATAGAGAGGAAAATTAATTTTTGGCCAAGCCTTGGCTATGATTACGTCTACGGATTACAACGTAAGAGAACATACATTGAGAACATACATTAAGAATTATGGGAATTTTCGGAGCTTTGCACGAAAACAAGGCAGGGAGACAAATGTCGAAATTGAGGTTATTAACATAAATTGCTTCTTAATGCCAGAGATTGTACGACTCGAGCCTTATAATTCGCATACGATTATCACATGCTTGTGCATTTGATTTTCCATGGCCATCGTCTGGCAGTCATATTTCAGCTCATCTGGGCTCAGACTGACGGACCGGGTACCGGGACCCTTAAGTGATTTGTTTATCCAAGAGGAATTGATTGCAACGAAAACCGAGACAGACATCGCAAGACAAACACAACCAGCTGTGGCCCCCCGAATCCGATTCCGAATCCGAGACAGAGACACAGCCACTAAGGTTGTATAAATTCCATCCATCCTTTTGGACACAAAAGGGGCAAGTGTAAATTTGCCATTTTTATGGTTTAAGTGTCGCGTCGTCATTATAATTTAGTCGAAAATGTATGGCATTCGATCCATTTCAATTGTTTATGGTAGACACATTAAAAGTTTGTTTTGACAAAGGGCAGGACCACATGTTTGTTTTAGGAATAATATATATCACCCCAAAAGGCAATCAAGATAAAATAACATTAAAACGCAACTGACGCGGCGATTGGAAAGGCTGATAAAGAAAAAATACACCGCTTAAAAACTCTTTAAAACTCAAAAATTTAAAGGTTTGATTTCAAATGAATTAAGTAATTTTGAGTAAAATTTTTAGATCACAACTTCATTAATCAAGTTTCAAGCTTTTCACCAAGTTAAGTCTTTTAAAGGTATTAAAGTTTGTTAAGTCTTTAGCCTTTTATTTTTATATAAAATTCAAAGGAATTTGCACTGTTTTTAATGAATCATCGTTAAAAGGGAATGTAATAATAATAAAGAAATTTATAGCCATAAAATACCTTGATAAAGCTTAGTTCAGCTTTTTTGAAGCCACTGGAAAAGAAAAACAAATACGTTACAAAGAAATTAATACAATAATAATATACACTTACACCACATATTTCCTTTCAAAAGAGGGCACTGATGATGAAGAACAATGTCTTGGCTGTTAGCCCAAATCAGCATAGAACCCTTAATAGGTTTCACTTTTAATTCCAAAGAATCGAAAACAGTTTCTCCACCATGCTCAGCATTGCTTAACTATAAATAAAGAATATTAAAACCTCTTTTAAATTAGATTAAAAAATATTCTTACAAATATCAGGACATTTCCTTTATGAACATTTTCTGATTTTTCAGTGTCATCTGGATTGTAATTTCCTGCCATGCCATAATTTATGACTTGCAGCATATCATTTTTATCGATTCTCATTCCGGTTATGTCCATAATTCTTCGATTAATGTTATGAATAACATTATTTGAGGAACCCGATAGCTCAGCCACCATACAACTGCAGTTCCATGATAGGTCCTCGACGCGTTGAAGATTGGTTTTGGCAGCATTTTTTAGTACATCGATTTCTTTTTGACTGATAAAATCAGGGAATATATTTAGATATATTTCCTCGGATAATTCCTCTACTTTGATTGGAGCCAAGCGTAGGAATGGCGACCAGCTTTCATAATAACAGTAAAGATTTGCCAATCTTTTCATATAACTTTTCGTACAAAGTCTTTTTTGACGCTGAAAATCTTTCTCAACTTCTGTTATATTGGCAGGATTCTTTTCCAGATAGTCAAGCTTCGGAATTTGGCTTAGCATGTAAGTGTGATTCGGCTGAATGGCAAGGATTTCTAGCGCATATTGCTTAGCATCTATGTAGTTTCCTGCAATTAAAAAAAACAGGTATATAGTATTATTTATAAAATTATTTTATGTATAAAATTAAAATTAATAAAGCCGAGACAGCTGAGAGAGAAATCAAAGCAGATAATATATAGATTTTAAATTACTTGAATAGGACATTCTCTTACCCATTCCTTTGTAAGCTTCTACTATAGATTCTAATATGTTATGATACTTCCACAGCGTAACGTCAAGCTGCTTTTGATGGGAATATTCACTGTAGTAAAATAGAGCCAGTTGTAGCCAATACTCCGATTTGTCGTACAGCTTCACGGTTTGATACATCAGACCCAAAATTAAGCACTCATCCGTACCCCAATTTTTAACACTTAAATTGGTATAACAAATAATTAAATAGAACATTATAAACCTATAACGCTTACTTGTATTGTTTTCCATCCAATATTCCACTTGCCATATCAGCGGCATCCAAATCATATATAGTTTGAAGTTTATAGATCGCTGTCAGGGCATCGATAAAATCCTCTGACGTTGGCAGAGTTGATAATTGTTCCTGAGAAAATGCAATCTCTTCTGTGCCCAATTTGGTATTCATAAACTTTAAATATTGTGGCCAATCATTCCGTAAGTGCCGTATTAATTTAAAGCCAATCAACAAGTTGTTAGGATAATGCGAAGCCGATTTTAGCAGTTCCCTTGAATGTTTCACAGCTCTGTAGGCGAAAAATAATATTAATAACAGGAAGAACAACAAAATAAAAACATTGTACTTACAACTGAACATGTTTAAGATGCGATTTCAATTCTTCTCTGTAATTGTAAAGATTGTTTACTTGTCGCTCTTTTAGCTTTAAGAGTGACAGTTGTCTTTCTGAGGATATTGCAACGTTATATGGATCTGGCCAAGTTTTGAACTCAGCCTTAATTTGCAGCCCAAAAAAAGGCGTTAGAATCAACAGCAGAAACCTTAAATTAACCATTGTTACAGATTCCTAACTAAAAACGAATCGCAAACTTGGTAAATCTTCTTCCAGTTTAGTAATTTATGTTGCACGGCATATTTTAGCATTGATAATATCTTTAGTCAAGGTTTAACTACAAATATTTAGAGAAGTTAGCTATTCTTTCTTACTTAGTTTGTGCTACCTAACCTGCCATGTTTCAATACTGTGTCTTTATAGTGTTACTCAATGCACAAATCGGATTTAGCATTGAACAAGAATCGCATGACTATGCCTTATCCCAAGTACACATGTTCCCATTGTTGCAACTTAAAGAGAAGGCGGTTGGGAATCTAAAAAAATATACCTTCTCATTACAGAAACGATTATCGTATATCAAATTGTAAGCATATCTTGAAAATCTTATAAAAGTTTAACAATTTCATAAAATAAATCCATTTCAGAGCCATTAGTCAAGTGAAATGTCTGCAAATGTCTATCAACTCAACTAGCATCTTCGATAAATTTAAACTAACGCGACTTTTGTATTCTGACCTGGAAAAATGGTTCGATTTTTTAAAACAAAATCCCGGCAGTGAGGAAATACTTATATCGCAAAGTTTACGACCAAAAATGCCTACAAAAATGGATTATTACGAAGGTCTGTATGCCATTCATCGGTTGCAGTCTACTTATCGATTAGATCCTGCGGAAATGGCGAATGGATTGCTAGGAGAACGGAAATACAGGTTTGGAACCAGTTATCCCTTATTTTTTAATTTTATAATAATTATTATTATTTTTATAGATGCAAGGCCTGGAGTGCAATGGAGTGCCTTATGGTGGGCTCTGTTTACTATCTGGATGAACAGTTTCGGGGTGCGGAACGTTGGTTTCAATTGGCCCTCGAAAAATACTACAAAGACCGGAAACTATTTGAAACATTTGGGTGGAACCGTGAATTTATTTTAAAGCTGCTCATAAAGGCATCCCAGAGTTCCGGTCGTTATAAAGCCGCCTTGGGTTACGCCAAAAAAGCCGATTCTAATACCTATTGGCAAGAACAAATTGGCAGGCTCAAAAACTTGAGTAGTCAGCCAGAGGTTCTTAAACCCAAAGAGCGAAAAAATAGTTACACATTTAAGCCAGCTTGTCGCATGGTATATCCCGATAAAAATAATCTGCATTGTCGTTATCTAAGCTCAACGCCATTCCTAAAACTAGCTCCCATACAGATGGAAGAGTTGAATCTTGAACCACCTATTAATATGTATCACAATCTAATTAATGAGAGGGAAATCTCAGTGCTCAAGAATCTGTCAAGACCGCACCTAAAACGCAGCGAATTTATCACAGAAGGTAATAAGGTGATTCAGGATTTCTTAAATCTACGCACTTGCAAAACAATGCGCCTCCAGGATAATGCTGATGAAAAACTTATAAAGAATTTAAATCAACGCATTACGGATTCGACAGGCTTGAGTGTATTGGAGTCTGAAGAGCTTGTGCTTACTAACTATGGCATTGGGGGACATCTCATTGAGCACCACGACGCCGGCACTGACCTTTTAAATGATTTTTGGAACTCTGGAAATCGGGTTATCACAGCACTATTTTATGTAAGACTATATATAAAGCGTTTTTATACTCTTGCAGGTATTTAAATTTTAGTCAGAAGGAGTCGTTTCCGACACTGTAAATCATATATGAAACTTTTGAAGTTTTGATTAAGCTAAGTTATGCTTGATTTTAGATTCGATCCTATAATTAAACTGCAAATAGCAAGGGTTCATAAACTTCGGCTTCTCGAAGCTAGGTTTCTTTTTTGTTTTACATATATTTTAATTGTCAATTTAATTTCCAGCTTAGCGATGTATTGCAAGGCGGTGAAACATTGTTTCCTTACTTAGACCTACGAGTTCATACTCGAAAGGGCTCCTTGTTGGTTTGGTACAATCTCTTACTAAATGGATCTATTGACTGGAGAGTGGAGCACATATCCTGCCCCATTTTAATTGGTGATAAGTGGCGTAAGTGAAGTTTATTCCATTGAATTAGTACAAATAATTTTGCAACGAATTTTTATACAGTGGCCACCAAATGGTTACGAGAAAAGCCCCAAATGTTTATACGCCGTTGTCCCTTGGAGTTGAAACCAGTGCCTGAATTTCAAAACATGGGTTTTTATCAGAAGTTCTTCGTCGAAAATGATCAACCGTATCAGTTTACTTTATGATATCGAGACGGAATATGTTTTAACTCAGAATTAAATTTTTAAATATATATTTTTCCTCATCTGTGTCTATTTGGATAACGAAAGTTATTAAACTTTAAGTATCTATCTATAAGGATAAGCAAATTCGCTTAAATGAATTAGGAAAGGAATATGAAGGAAAAGTTCAATTATTTTAATTCTCATTCAGTTAGGATTAGGCGAAGGTCATACTAGTATTCTGTTTTTTGTAAGTATCACAAATATATAAAATGAAACATAAGGGAAACATGATACTACATTTTCTTTACTATATAAATTAATTTTTTTTTTATTAAGCTCAACAATGTACCTGAAGGTGGTGCCTTTTCCTTTTCCAAACTAAATCTTATTGTTTTCCCACAAAAAGGAAGTGCATAATGTGGCATAATCTGGATAATGCACTTCAACCTACTAAACTTAGGTCGTGTCTGGTTGTATTAGGCTCCAAATGGAGTAAGTCATTAGAACCTGAATGTTTATCTATTATAACAAGGTTTTGAAGTGTTTGTCAGACCTCGGAACACCTGGCTAAAGCATGAAATCATAAGTGTTAAAATAATAATTTCAGCTGGAAATTTAGCTTAACATTTTAGTTTGTTTTGCGGACTCTTAGAAACGGTCATGCCAATTGCCTTTGCAATAATTTTTGTTTTAGTTTTACCTGTAAAACTAGACAAAAATGTGGAAAATAAAAAAAAATTTGATTATAATAGGGAATACTATACTACTTCAGTTTTAGGATTAATAAAACTTTTTGAACTAGAGCGAGAGTTTATGGAAAACTTTACCCTGTATGCTGATGACCTGCAGGAAAAGGCGAATAACCTGAATAGGCAAGTAATTGATCACAACTAAGCCAAAAAAAAAAAAGAAAAAATTTGAATTCGGAAACTTCATGTTAGTTTTTATTGGGGTACTAAACCTGGAAACTGATTTAAAAATAAATAGTAAGGCAAGCTAACTTCGAGAAACCAAAGTGTGGATCAAATGTGCAATCGATCATAAGGCAAAGAGATATATACATATATCAAAATATGTGATTCTAGGTATATTTTATAGATATTTTTAAAAGATAAATTTAGGGTAATTATGTAGCAAAAGTTGGGTCAGTATTAAAATTATGATGACGTCTTACATTGGTCAAATGATATTTTTGGGGTAGAAGAGAAATCACTATCACTATCACTATCTTCATCGATGTTTACACTGGGTACCCCACGGACAGACTGAGGCCAGCGAGCCGACCGCGCCTGTATTTATAGTCGCCGAGCAAAGAGAAGAGCAGAGGGTAAGAGCGAGAGCGCGGGAGAGAATGAGTATCTCTAGAGCGGGAGACTCTCTAGCTCTATCTCTAGAGGTACACATACGAGGGATCGACATACCGAAAATGAGAGAGGGAGAGAGAGGGGGACAGAGCGATGTAATGCCTATTACATTCACCTAAACATATTATATTTAAGGGTTTACATTCTCCGTTTTCCATTTTCAGCTACATATGTATATAATTTAATCGGCCGATTTTAATAAAATTAAAACCGAAATTATAAAATAACACAAAGTGGCAAAACGATTTATTTTATACAGTCGCAAATGACTCCTTTGCTGCGTTGCAAGCTTCTGACTAAAATTATAATATGCTGCTTAACCAAATTCAAATTGTATACTCAAAATTTCTTAGTTTCCTTGATGCCTTAAAGCGTCCCAGATATACGACTTATATGGAGAGGGAGACTTTTGTACCTAATCCCCTAAATGCATTTGGACTAATTAGACGTCTCAACCAAGACTGGCCAAAGTTGCAGAATTATAGCAAGAAAGCAGTGGGCTTAGTACACTTGGATGCAATGAAAGAGATCCTGACCAGAGCTCCAGATGACCACGACATGAACGAAACTTTACAGCGAATGCATCGTATTGAGACAACCTATGATCTTCATGCCAAAGATATTGCCAATGGACTGCTACAAAGCAAGCAATTCAAGTGAGTGTGAAAATATAATATTATTAATTTGATATTAGCATAATCATGTAAATATTTTGTCTTTTAGCTATAATTTAACTTCGAGGGAATGCTTGGTAATAGCTCAACATAAATTTGGTTTTGGAGATTATCACCGATCTTTAAGATGGTTTAAGGCAGCTTTAGAGCACAATATTGTTGGGAATAAAGTGAATGAAGAGAATTCCTTTAAAGCCTTTGTAACAGCGGTAGTAAAACGCAGTAAGATAAACCAAAAAGAATATACTTATATAATAATAACAATATAACATTGTCTAATATTATATTTTTAATCATTATTTGTACCACTATTTAGATATTTCCCTATCGAATCAATCATTGGACAATGAAGATCTCCAGCAATTAGTGAATAAAAAAATCCAGACACCTAAAGATATGGAAGAATTTATCAGTTCCAAGCTAACACTATGGGATATGGAAAATACCAATTCTACGGATCGCACAAAAACACCACTAACTGCCCATAAAATCGGATGCCGTGGACTCTATCCCAAACGGACCCATGGCCTAGTCTGCCGCTACAACTCCACTACGACGCCTTTTTTAAGGCTGGCCCCCCTAAAAATGGAGGAAATAAGCCTTGATCCATATATGGTAATGTACCATGAAGTTATCTCAAACAAGGAAATCGAGGATTTAAAAGGAGAGATTAAACAAAAAATGGATAATGGATGGGCGGATTTGGCGGAAGTCGTAAGTCGCATTTACTGGATAAAAAATGAGTCAATCATCAGGGAGCGAATCAATCACCGAATAACCGACATGACTGGCTTCGATATACAGGAGTTTCCAGCTCTTCAGTTGGCAAATTTCGGTGTGGGCGGTTACTTTAGGCCTCATCATGACTATTTCTCTGAAAGGACCTCAATACTGGAGCCACCTAATCCTCTGGGTGATCGAATTGGAACCGTTATCATTTATGTGAGTATTTCAAACATTTTTCTTTCTCTTTATATAATGTGATTAATTAAATATCCTTGAAAGGCTGGTGATGTTTCTCAAGGCGGACAAACATTATTTCCCGAAATAGAGGTGGCTGTGGATCCCAAGAAAGGCAATGCCTTATTTTGGTTCAATACATTCGATGACGCTACCCAAGATCCGCGATCCTTGCACTCGGTGTGTCCAGTCATTGTTGGTTCAAGATGGAGTAAGTATAGAAATATACTACTATAAAATATACATTAAATAAACATTTTCTTATAACATCTTTATAGCGGTGACTAAGTGGCTGCACTACGCCCCCCAGCTATTTACAAAGCGTTGCTATCCAAAAGTTAAAAATATATCAATATATCCCTAAACACTTGACGTGTTTCCTTATCTTTAAATAAAGTTTAAAAATGCATTATGAACGCTACAACCCTAACGAATTTCTTTTAATTTTGTACTTCTTGTTATATTCGAGTCTCAGTCAAAATGCAGAACTGGAAAAGTTTAGTCGTACTTTTTCTTCTATGGAGGCAAATAATTGCAGAAAATATTCAAAATCCATTAAACAATGAAGGAAAACAACTTTATAGTTCCTCAAATGCAGGACTTTTAAAGTTATTACAATTGGAACAGAGATTCATGGAAAACATAAAGATTTATACAAATAAGCTGACCGAGAAAGTTAAAAATTTACAAGCGTAAGAATTGTGGAAATTTGAAAGGAAATGAAAATATTAAAGCTCCACATTTACGAACAGATTTATCGATTCGGTTGATTATAGAGCCAATGAAACTTTTGAAGATCGAGAGAAATATGTGAGTAATCCGTTGAATGCCTTTAGTTTACTAAGGCGAACACATGAGGACTTGCCAAAGTGGCATAATTACACGCAACAAATGGTCGGAATGGGTAAGGATCTTTACTCCGTTTTTAATATGACTCCAAATACTATATCTTTTCCAAAGAGGAATTATACGCCTTAGAAGAAATCGCAGTAAAGGCTCCCGATGAGGAGGATATGAATTACTCCCTGCAGGGAATGCATCGCTTGGAAAAGATCTACGGTCTGGAGGCAACAGATCTAGCGAGGGGTCGCATACAGGACAGGAAATACGAGTTAATATTCCCTTCAAATTTCTAAGCAAACAGCACCTAATCATATTATACTACAGTGTCAAGATGTCAGCAAGGGATTGCTTTGCTTTGGGTGAGCACAAATATCAAAAGGAGGACTATCAAAGGGCTTCAATGTGGTTCCGAATGGCACTCAAACATAAGCCCGAAGAAAATGCGAAGCTCGTTAATGAAATCTTGGGAGACATGAAGGATAAATTGCGAAAGCATTATGCCGCATCAATAATTATATTTGGTAAGTTTTCTGCCTTCCACAACATCTTTTTATAAGCTCTTCCATTTCACCCTTTAGGTCTAGTAAAATCCGATCCTACGCTAACCATTGCCAAATCTCGAGCGATTGCCTTTGAAGCATTGGGCAAAGCAACCCTGACAGATCTGAAAACCCTTATAACCGAGTTACTAAAACAAAGTGATGAGGAAATAGTTAGGGAAATGAATATTAATGGAACAGCTCCATCTGACTATGAACTGGGATGTCGTGGACTACTTCCAAAGCGGAAAAACCTTTATTGCAGCTACGATTCCAGCACAACTCCATTTCTAAGGATAGCACCCACGAAACAGGAGATAATAAGCCTGGATCCCTATATTGTAATGCATCACGAAGTCCTGTATAACAATGAGATAGCTGAGCTCAAACTGCACGCCCAAAACAAGATCAAGGTTACGAATGAAAATCGGATGAAAATAGACTCCCTTAGGAGGCGAATGATCAATCGCATTACTGACATAACAGGCGTTGGTTTTCAAATTACTCACGAGCTGCATATGCCCGATTATGACCTTAAATCGTACTATAAACCCAACCGTGATTATGCATATTGGGGCGGACCTAAGGTTACATTACTGTTTTTTGTAAGTATGGGAAATAATTCCAAATTCAGATCATATTTACTTTGGCAACTTTTTCCTCAGGCTTCTGACGTCGAAGGTGGTGCTACTGTCTTTACAAAATCAAAAGTATCAGTTTTTCCCCGAAAAGGGAGCAGTTTGTTTTGGTATAATCTTTTAGACGATGGAACCCCAGATCGTCGGAGCGTACAGGCTGAATGCCCGGTTCTAAAAGGAAATAAATGGGGTAAGTTGAAGTTACATCCCTACTGGCCTGCTATCTTTTCTAATACACCATTCTTTTTTACTTTTAACTTTATCAGTTTTTACTAAATGGATAAAGGAGATAAACAGTCAGTGCACACATAGGACCAAAAGTTGAAAAAACTTTAACATAAAATAAATATCCTTTAGATTCAATAATTTCAGATATTGTTATAAATGAAAACTTAGAAGAAAGCGAATTTTACCTTCCGATTGATAATGCAAAATAAATATTTTTTGCCGGTTTACAGGGTCGGAAACGAGTCCTTCACTGTTTTTCACGCTGCTGACTGAAATTATAATACCCTGCAACATTATAATAATGTAGCAAAAGTTGGGTCAATATTAAAATTATTATGACATTACATTGGTCAAATGATATTTTTTGGGTAGAAGGGAAATCACTATCACCATCACTATCTCCATCGATGTTAACACTGGGTACCCCACGGACAGACTGAGGCCAGCGGGCCAACCGTGCCTGTATTTATAGTCGCCGAGTGAAGAGAAGAGCAGAGGGTAAGAGCGAGAGCGCGGGAGAGAATGAGTATCTCTAGAGCGGGAGACTCTCTAGCTCTATCTCTAGAGGTACACATAGAGGGATCGTCATACCGAAAATAAGAGAGAGAGAGAGAGTATAGTAATACCTATTACTTTCACCTGAATTTTTTTTATATTTACGGGTTGAAATTCTCAGTTTGGCATTTTCGTCTGCATTTAGCGATTTTTTTATGGCAGCTATATGATATGGCCGGTCGATGTTAACAAAATTAAAAGCGAAATTATTAAAAAAAAAAATCACAAAATGGCAAAACGGCAAAACGGCCATACTCCTTCACTGAGTTGCAAGCTTCTGACTTAAATTAATCCGGACTGATTCGACGTCTCAACCAAGACTGGCCAAAATTGCAGAACTATAGCAAGAAATCGGTAAAAAATTTAACGATGCATAAAATTTAGAAAATTTTGAAAAAAAAATAATGTCTTGGTAGTCATAGGCTTCTGACGCTAATCAATAATATAAGCTAAAATTATCGTACCCTGAAATAGGGTTTACAAGTATGATTTAAATAAGTAAATGACGAAAAAGGTAAACAAAAAATATATAAGCCATGACATAAACCGAATTAATTATAAAAGGTTATACCATGGCTAATAATTGCATATATATAAAATATAGACTTTGGTGAGTTTCTCCAGTTCAAATGGGTCAGTGGCTCAGCGCTGTAGCAATACTTTTTAGCTTAGGCTATTTCTTTGTAGCTGCTATTGCAGATCCAGCCTACGATGAGAGTAGGGAAAGATATAGTTCATCTACGGTGGGACTTTTAAAGCTGCTAAAGTTGGAGCAAAAGTTTGTAGAAATCCTACTAACTCAAGATCCACATGGAGAGAGCGAAACTATACAAGCGTAAGAATTTTCTAATTTCATACTAAAATAATCTTAGCACCTTAAATATTTTTAGTTACCTATTTTCAATTGATTACAAAAAGTCACGTACTCCAGAAGAGACATTAGAATATGTTTCCAATCCTTTGTCTGCCTTTTCACTTGTAAGACGAACACATGAAGATCTACCCAAGTGGCACCAGCGGTTTCAGAAGGAAATGAAATTGGGTTAGTTTTTCATATTTTCAAATATATTGAAAATGTTGTTATAGTCGAATTTTTCAAATAGCAGATACAATGGTATTAGATGACCTATTGGCCAAAGTACCTGATAGCCAGGATTTTTTGGAGGCTGCACTTGGAATTCAACGTATCGAAAGGATCTATGACCTTCGGATCGATGATTTAGCAACCGGACGTCTGCAGAACAAGCAATACAGGTAAAACTGGATGTTTGTAAATAAGTTCTATAAAACAATAAGGTTTATGTTTTAATTTTTAGTATTCGATTCACCTTTCACGACCGTGTAGCTATGGGAAATCTGATGTTTAAACAACATGACTTTCTAGCGGCAGCCAAATGGTATCGCATGGCTACAAAACTCAATCCCATAGAGAACAGGGAAATATTACATACGGTTTTGGGGGATCCATCGGGCTATCTAAAACGTCAATGCATAAAAGCATTGTTTGTTTATGGTAAGTTCTCTTTCTAGATCTCACACTCTTTTAAATCTTAAAGTATCACAATTTTGCAGGCTCGGTTCTTACTGGCGATTCGCAGAGTAATGACGAGGCTTTAGCCAAGGTGGAGGAAAAGATTGCAAATATGGATGAGGAGGTTTTAGATGATTTGTTGACCAATCTTAAAAAGCCCGATAATGACATTGAACTGGAAAAACAGCTATACGAGACAAAAATAACTCCTACTGCCTTTGAAAGGGGTTGTCGTGGACAATTCCGGCCAAGAACGCGACTCACATGTAGGTATAACTTTACCACGACTCCATTCCTGCGATTGGCACCGCTGAAAATGGAGGAAATCAGTCGAAATCCCTATATAGTCATGTACCACGATGTTCTCTACGATTCTGAGATTAAGACTATTAAGGGACAGTCTGATGGCTTAAAAAATGGCTTTGCCGATGTAAAGAATGAATCAATGATCAGGGATATAGTGGCTCGACATGTATGGTGGACGGCGGAATCCCCCGTAAAAGAGCGCATCAACCAGCGCATCATTGATATGACTGGACTTAATATCTCACGAACAGAGAATATACAGATCGCTAACTATGGATTGGGCACATATTTTAAACCACATTTTGACTATACATCTGATGGATATGTACCGCCTGATGTCTCTACTTTGGGCGATCGTTTGGTCACCATTCTTTTTTACGTAAGTGATAATTTTAAGAATTATCTTCTTAATTATTGCATTGTAATTTAATATAATTTTAATTTTAACAGGCCAGTGATGTTTCTCAGGGTGGTGCCACCGTCTTTCCAGATCTCAAGATCTCGATATATCCACAAAAAGGCAGTGCTATTTGGTGGTTTAATTTATACAATAATGGAACCACTGATACAAGAAGCAAACACTCTGTGTGCCCGGTTATCAACGGCGATAGATGGAGTAGGTTTAATTTACTTATTATCATTATTATTCAGTTTTAACTGATTCTATTATTTATAATTTTCAGCTCTAACAATGTGGATCAATTTGTTTCCGCAAATGTTTATCGCTCCATGCAATATTTAAAATATATATCAAATGTTTAACATTTTTAATTGTCATGACTCCTATCGCAATCATTTTTGGATACATTTTTCAAGACTTTAATGTTTTTTCACGTTGATAAATAAATTAGCAAATGAACCATTTACTTTTTCATTATAAAAACGGAAAGCCCATAGCTAATAAACCATAAAGAATAAGGTTTACTTGACTAAAGAGAGTGCAGTTGTATACCTAAGCTACTATGAAGTGGTTCATTTTGAAGCTCTACTTGTTTTCAATATTTCTCCCACAACTTATTTGCAGTGCAGAAAGCGAAAAGGTCGAAGATGGCGTATTATACAGCACTTCTGTAATGAGCATGGTTAAGCTTTTAGATATGGAAGATTCTTTAAAAGAAAACGTAGAGATATATGTTCGGGAAATGCAAGCCAAATTGGATATGATCAAATTGTAAGTCTATTAAATATGCCATATTAATACAGATTAATTAAAATCGATGTCTTTAGATTCCTATATTCAATAAAAAGAGAACAACAGCTGAGAACCCTAGAGGAAAAAGAAGAGTTTATGGCAAATCCTTTAAATGCATTTCCTTTACTAAGACGCCTCAATCAAGACTGGCCCAAGTGGCTTAAATTTCTAAAAATAGCCATAGCTCCAAATAATACAAAGGCAATGCAAACACACTTAAAATCAGCGCCTAGTAATGATGATCTTAACGTGGCTCTTAAAGGTATGACGCGTATCGAACAATTTTACAATCAACATGCGGAGGATTTAACCAAAGGTTTCTTGTTGGATCAGAAATTCGAGTGGGTTGACAAATTCCTTACTATATATATAAATATATATCTAATAGAATTTCTTTCCAGCTCTCATTTGACAGCTCCCGATTGTATTTCCTTAGCTGATTTCTATTATAATCAAACGCGATTTACTGATTGCACTCATTGGTATCGCATGGCCCTAAGACTTCATAAGAATCCCCAAGGAAAATTATACGAAAGGGTATTGGGTTTGAAGAGAAAGAATATCTATAAAAAATACGCCAAAGCTTTGCTTAAAGAATGTTAGTATAGTTAGCATATTGGGGCGGACCTAAGGTTACATTACTGTTTTTTGTAAGTATGGGAAATAATTCCAAATTCAGATCATATTTACTTTGGCAACTTTTTCCTCAGGCTTCTGACGTCGAAGGTGGTGCTACTGTCTTTACAAAATCAAAAGTATCAGTTTTTCCCCGAAAAGGGAGCAGTTTGTTTTGGTATAATCTTTTAGACGATGGAACCCCAGATCGTCGGAGCGTACAGGCTGAATGCCCGGTTCTAAAAGGAAATAAATGGGGTAAGTTGAAGTTACATCCCTACTGGCCTGCTATCTTTTCTAATACACCATTCTTTTTTACTTTTAACTTTATCAGTTTTTACTAAATGGATAAAGGAGATAAACAGTCAGTGCACACATAGGACCAAAAGTTGAAAAAACTTTAACATAAAATAAATATCCTTTAGATTCAATAATTTCAGATATTGTTATAAATGAAAACTTAGAAGAAAGCGAATTTTACCTTCCGATTGATAATGCAAAATAAATATTTTTTGCCGGTTTACAGGGTCGGAAACGAGTCCTTCACTGTTTTTCACGCTGCTGACTGAAATTATAATACCCTGCAACATTATAATAATGTAGCAAAAGTTGGGTCAATATTAAAATTATTATGACATTACATTGGTCAAATGATATTTTTTGGGTAGAAGGGAAATCACTATCACCATCACTATCTCCATCGATGTTAACACTGGGTACCCCACGGACAGACTGAGGCCAGCGGGCCAACCGTGCCTGTATTTATAGTCGCCGAGTGAAGAGAAGAGCAGAGGGTAAGAGCGAGAGCGCGGGAGAGAATGAGTATCTCTAGAGCGGGAGACTCTCTAGCTCTATCTCTAGAGGTACACATAGAGGGATCGTCATACCGAAAATAAGAGAGAGAGAGAGAGTATAGTAATACCTATTACTTTCACCTGAATTTTTTTTATATTTACGGGTTGAAATTCTCAGTTTGGCATTTTCGTCTGCATTTAGCGATTTTTTTATGGCAGCTATATGATATGGCCGGTCGATGTTAACAAAATTAAAAGCGAAATTATTAAAAAAAAAATCACAAAATGGCAAAACGGCAAAACGGCCATACTCCTTCACTGAGTTGCAAGCTTCTGACTTAAATTAATCCGGACTGATTCGACGTCTCAACCAAGACTGGCCAAAATTGCAGAACTATAGCAAGAAATCGGTAAAAAATTTAACGATGCATAAAATTTAGAAAATTTTGAAAAAAAAATAATGTCTTGGTAGTCATAGGCTTCTGACGCTAATCAATAATATAAGCTAAAATTATCGTACCCTGAAATAGGGTTTACAAGTATGATTTAAATAAGTAAATGACGAAAAAGGTAAACAAAAAATATATAAGCCATGACATAAACCGAATTAATTATAAAAGGTTATACCATGGCTAATAATTGCATATATATAAAATATAGACTTTGGTGAGTTTCTCCAGTTCAAATGGGTCAGTGGCTCAGCGCTGTAGCAATACTTTTTAGCTTAGGCTATTTCTTTGTAGCTGCTATTGCAGATCCAGCCTACGATGAGAGTAGGGAAAGATATAGTTCATCTACGGTGGGACTTTTAAAGCTGCTAAAGTTGGAGCAAAAGTTTGTAGAAATCCTACTAACTCAAGATCCACATGGAGAGAGCGAAACTATACAAGCGTAAGAATTTTCTAATTTCATACTAAAATAATCTTAGCACCTTAAATATTTTTAGTTACCTATTTTCAATTGATTACAAAAAGTCACGTACTCCAGAAGAGACATTAGAATATGTTTCCAATCCTTTGTCTGCCTTTTCACTTGTAAGACGAACACATGAAGATCTACCCAAGTGGCACCAGCGGTTTCAGAAGGAAATGAAATTGGGTTAGTTTTTCATATTTTCAAATATATTGAAAATGTTGTTATAGTCGAATTTTTCAAATAGCAGATACAATGGTATTAGATGACCTATTGGCCAAAGTACCTGATAGCCAGGATTTTTTGGAGGCTGCACTTGGAATTCAACGTATCGAAAGGATCTATGACCTTCGGATCGATGATTTAGCAACCGGACGTCTGCAGAACAAGCAATACAGGTAAAACTGGATGTTTGTAAATAAGTTCTATAAAACAATAAGGTTTATGTTTTAATTTTTAGTATTCGATTCACCTTTCACGACCGTGTAGCTATGGGAAATCTGATGTTTAAACAACATGACTTTCTAGCGGCAGCCAAATGGTATCGCATGGCTACAAAACTCAATCCCATAGAGAACAGGGAAATATTACATACGGTTTTGGGGGATCCATCGGGCTATCTAAAACGTCAATGCATAAAAGCATTGTTTGTTTATGGTAAGTTCTCTTTCTAGATCTCACACTCTTTTAAATCTTAAAGTATCACAATTTTGCAGGCTCGGTTCTTACTGGCGATTCGCAGAGTAATGGCGAGGCTTTAGCCAAAGTGGAGGAAAAGATTAAAAATATGGATGAGGAGGTTATAGATGAATTGTTGACCAATCTTAAAAAGCCCGATAATGACATTGAACTGGAAAAACAGCTATACGAGACAAAAATAACTCCTACTGCCTTTGAAAGGGGTTGTCGTGGACAATTCCGGGCAAGAACGCGACTCACATGTAGGTATAACTTTACCACGACTCCATTCCTGCAATTGGCACCACTGAAAATGGAGGAAATCAGTGGAAATCCCTATATAGTCATGTACCACGATGTTCTCTACGATTCTGAGATTGAGACTATTAAGGAACAGTCTGATGGCTTAAAAAATGGCTTTGCCGATGTAAAGAATGAATCAATGATCAGGGATATAGTGGCTCGACATGTGTGGTGGACGGCGGAATCCCCCGTAAAAGAGCGCATCAACCAGCGCATCATTGATATGACTGGACTTAATATCTCACGAACAGAGAATATACAGATCGCTAACTATGGATTGGGCACATATTTTAAACCACATTTTGACTATACATCTGATGGATATGTACCGCCTGATGTCTCTACTTTGGGCGATCGTTTGGTCACCATTCTTTTTTACGTAAGTGATAATTTTAAGAATTATCTTCTTAATTATTGCATTGTAATTTAATATAATTTTAATTTTAACAGGCCAGTGATGTTTCTCAGGGTGGTGCCACCGTCTTTCCAGATCTCAAGATCTCGATATATCCACAAAAAGGCAGTGCTATTTGGTGGTTTAATTTATACAATAATGGAACCACTGATACAAGAAGCAAACACTCTGTGTGCCCGGTTATCAACGGCGATAGATGGAGTAGGTTTAATTTACTTATTATCATTATTATTCAGTTTTAACTGATTCTATTATTTATAATTTTCAGCTCTAACAATGTGGATCAATTTGTTTCCGCAAATGTTTATCGCTCCATGCAATATTTAAAATATATATCAAATGTTTAACATTTTTAATTGTCATGACTCCTATCGCAATCATTTTTGGATACATTTTTCAAGACTTTAATGTTTTCTCACGTTGATAAATAAATTAGCAAATGAACCATTTACTTTTTCATTATAAAAACGGAAAGCCCATAGCTAATAAACCATAAAGAATAAGGTTTACTTGACTAAAGAGAGTGCAGTTGTATACCTAAGCTACTATGAAGTGGTTCATTTTGAAGCTCTACTTGTTTTCAATATTTCTCCCACAATTTATTTGCAGTGCAGAAAGCGAAAAGGTCGAAGATGGCGTATTATACAGCACTTCTGTAATGAGCATGGTTAAGCTTTTAGATATGGAAGATTCTTTAAAAGAAAACGTAGAGATATATGTTCGGGAAATGCAAGCCAAATTGGATATGATCAAATTGTAAGTCTATTAAATATGCCATATTAATACAGATTAATTAAAATCGATGTCTTTAGATTCCTATATTCAATAAAAAGAGAACAACAGCTGAGAACCCTAGAGGAAAAAGAAGAGTTTATGGCAAATCCTTTAAATGCCTTTCCTTTACTAAGACGCCTCAATCAAGACTGGCCCAAGTGGCTTAAATATCTGAAAATAGCCATAGCTCTAAATAATACAAAGGCAATGCAAACACACTTAAAATCAGCGCCTAGTAATGATGATCTTAACGTGGCTCTTAAAGGTATGACGCGTATCGAACAATTTTACAATCAACATGCGGAGGATTTAACCAAAGGTTTCTTGTTGGATCAGAAATTCGAGTGGGTTGACAAATTCCTTACTATATATATATATATATATATATCTAATAGAATTTCTTTCCAGCTCTCATTTGACAGCTTCCGATTGTATTTCCTTAGCTGATTTCTATTATAATCAAACGCGATTTACTGATTGCACTCATTGGTATCGCATGGCCCTAAGACTTCATAAGAATCCCCAAGGAAAATTATACGAAAGGGTATTGGGTTTGAAGAGAAAGAATATCTATAAAAAATACGCCAAGGCTTTGCTTAAAGAATGTTAGTATAGTTAATATTTAATTTATAATTCTCTCTTTAAAATAATATAATTAATTTTTAGCCATAAGTTTAGATAAAGCTAAACTTACGACCGCTGAGAGGGCTGAATGGGATATCATGGCCAAGCAAATCGTAAAGAAGGAAAATTATCACAACATAAAAAAGCTTATTGATGAATATCTAACTGGAGATGAGAAAATATTTCAAGAAGAAGCTGCCAGACATAAGCGTAAACCATCGAATCTTGAACGAGGTTGTCGTGGCAAGTGGCCAAAGCGAGTTTCATCTGAACTGGTGTGTCGCTATAATAGAGATACATCTGATTTCCTTAAGCTGGCACCTCTTAAATTGGAGTTTCTGAACATGAAACCTTTGATTCTACTTTATCATGATGTGCTTTACGACAAAGAATTTGAATCCATGCGAAATATAGCAATTTACAATGCAACTATGACTGATGGCTGGACATATGTGAACTTTGACCGCAAGGGAAAGCCGCAACGGCAGGACAGAGTGGTGAAAATGATATCCTTTCAGGGTACAACAGCCTCGTTTACACTCAACATTAATCGACGAATCGGGGATATGACTGGCCTGGAGATGCACGAGAATATGGTCCTGCACCTAACCAATTACGGTCTGGGTGGTCATTTTGGTAAGCATTTGGATTACGTGAACTTGGCAAAGCGACCTGTGAGTACATATATTATTAACGTGAACTATGTTTTAATAATGTGATAATTTATAGCCGAATTTCTTTGCTGACTTGGGGGGCGATCGCATAGCAACAGCTTTGCTATATGTAAGTACCAATATAATTTTGGAAAATGAATATTTCAAACTAATAATTATTATACATTTGATACCTTCTTTGTGTTTTTTTTTATATATATTTAGGCCACAGATGTTCCTCTGGGCGGGAGCACAGTTTTTACCAAACTAAAAATCGCCGTCAAGCCCAAGAAAGGTAACGCTTTGATCTGGTTTAATCTTGATCATGCTGGTGATCCCGATCCCTTGACAGAACATTCAGCTTGTCCGGTTGTTATGGGCTCCAGATGGAGTAAGTATTGCAAATATAAATCTCTCAAATTTAGTTAATACACCCCCATTAATCTTCACAGCTATTTCCAAATGGATACATGAACGGCAACAGATTTTCAAGAAACCGTGTTTAGTCTAGCTTAGGAATCACTCTAAATCAGTGGTGTCATTAAAAGAAAACATGCAAATAAACAGATCACAATGTGGGGAAAATCTACCAGTGCCGCCGCCCAAGGCCTCCCCCTAGTCTGGGGTGTCCTTTTCATTGTTTGCCATAAAAATTGCAAGTGCCTTTAAATTCAGTGCCATTATTGGCATGGGCAGAGGGCGGGACTCTCTAGAGAGAGGGCCTGAGCTTATGTGCTTGCTCCAAATACCATTTAGCGGAAGTGCACACTTCAATAAGGAAAAGAGGGACAACTGCAGCAGTTAAGGAGGGCACGGAGGACAATAGCCAGGCCGTCGTCCTCGTCTGTGTCGCATCCCGGAGTCATACAAAGGGTGTAACCATGCAATTTAAGGACATGTTTTTATGCATTTTTGTTAGAGGCAGAAATAGCAAGATTTTCCCAAGTTGATAATTTTAATATTTTTAAAAAATATGAATATATAAAGACGACTTTGGGCATGCTTATAGTTACTTATCGTACTGATGTCAAATTTATTTCCGTATTGTCCTAATTGGTGACAGACTCTCCAAGTTGCAAATACTATTACCCTAATTGGAATATTCTTTGAATTTGCATCCTTAAAATTGTTCTGCTAATACATGCCCAAAACTTGGACGAAAACTTTAAATAAGTTTATAAGCAACTACTACATAGGTTTAGTGAGGGGGCCTTAGCGAAACGAAACGAAATCAGCATGGAAGCAATTGTCCAAGTTATTCCAAAGTGCGCTTGCAGGCAAAAGACACTCGCATAAACTGGAAAGAGGAGGAGGAGCACAACTGGGCAGCTAAGGAAACACAAACCGAGTCGGAATTCTCTTGCTGTTGCTGTTGTCAACGAAACTAATGCCGTTGCTGTTTTTGAAACGGGTTAAAAGGAGAAGCCACTGCCGGATGATGGCCACGCAGAGTGAAAAAGGAAGTGCCAGAGAGATGTTTATGTAGCCATTGAAATGGCAATCTATAGTTAAGCATTAACAAGTTAACCAAGAGCTGCAGCCAGAACAAAGCTGTCACAAAGTAATCCTCTTTGGCCTTCAATAACAAAAACTCTAAAAAGTATCTTTAAGCCATTTAGAAGCCTCTTGGCATTGCAACGGTTTGAAGTTAAATTATTGAAAATTTCAAAAAATTTCTCCCCTATAAGTTGTAGTATCATGCGAGAAAAATAAGGTTCTAACCCGGTATTAAAAGCAACGAACCACTTGCATTGTCCCATTCAATTCGCTGGAGGATTTAGCCACTGCAGCAATTGATTTACCACGCCTGTTGAAGGACCATAATACAGATTCACATACCAAAGAAATCTAAGGCAGAAGTCGGAGAAGTGAATCCCATTGAATGACTTGCCAAGTTGTTGAGAAACTACTGCAGCTCAGGGAGTCAAGGAAAAGTGAGAAAAACATATATATGTATATATACGTATATATAAAATAAGTAGAGGCAAATGCAATCTAAAGCGTCTGCACTTACCCGCAGGAGAGTTGGCCAGAGAACGGAGGAGTCAGAACGGTTCCACAATGTGTCCATGGAGAGACGACTTCGCTTGGGGCATTGTAAGGCGATTCCGAAAAGTGCTGAACTCTTAAGTGATTGAATTGTTATCGGTGACACGAATTTGTCCACTGATTTCGGATATCGAGGCCATACTGGGGGAGTCAATGCTGCCAAGATGAAGAGGTGAAAAGATAAGTTTATGCAAGCGTCGGAAATAACATTATATACATACTTAATTGGATATGACGCAGCGCTTCTAGGGGAATCTGTAAGCATCTGCTGAAGATGTCCCACATGCATGTGGCATTTACATTTGCAGAAATAAAGTAGGAATTAATAATAATAATAACACTAAGTCTAAATGCTTAATATTACAGCTTATGGTTTTATTGGAATGTAAAAGTCATTAATTCTTTAACAAAAGCCCTAACCGTTTGCCTGTATATGTATGAGCAAGTCCTTTTCTTGAATGCCACACACTTAACGTCGAGTCATTTCGCCGCACTATCGGCTAGCAGAAGCCATAAGGGTTTATGTGGGACATGCCCGTGCCGCAGTTTCTTTCTGGCAGCTTATGATGTGAGCTTTCCATAAATGTCGGGTTTGAACTGAATGTCCTAAGCTTAAAATACACTGTGGTGCCTGGCAAAGTATTTTAAGCTTAGGACTGTAAAATTTTGAACATTATTAGTAGTTGTTTCTTAGGATCTATGTTATGTTTTGATCTACATATGGCATGCTATGTACTTTGAGGTGAGAGTATGCATTTCACGAGTCTCAAACTCGTATCTAAAGATCACTGTCCGATGGGAGTTCAGCATTTTCGATTTTACGAACGTCCTCCCAGGCGAGGGACGACTCCTTGATCATTTCCAATTGGGCCATGCAGTATGGACATTCACGAAAGTCCATTAGGAACACCTCCTACAAGAAGGGCGGAAACTGAAGTTTTATATAGCTTTTAGAAGGATCGACCCTTACCGATGGATGCTTCTCGCAAGTCTGCCAAAGACGACCATGGAAGTAATGGTGACAAAAACCACATTCATAGGTACGTTGCGGACGAAGGCAAGTGCAGCTTGTTTTTCCCTGATAATCCTGCGGCAGCTCATACTTGATCTTCGCCTGCTCCTGTTCTTCAGCCTGCCCCGAGAGCTCTGGCTCGGGCAGGCTGGAAATGTTGTTGTTTGCATCAAGGCCACGGTCGCCACCGGTCTCATTAGGATACTGCCATTGGATACTACTTGGCTGGGACATGATTGTCTTCACGTCCCTTGGGCTGGGAGCATCCAGATTATCGTAGAGCGTGCCCAGGCGAGTGGCAATGGCATCGGGATCAGTGCCACACGCGGGTGCAGCTGTTGCTACATAAAAAAATTCACGGTTTTGCTGTTCTTTTTGTAAGTTCAGCTCATAGTTACGTTTGGGTTTGGGTGCCTCACTCGAGTTGCTCATCGTTCTGCTGATTTGCGTTGATACTTGATATATTGAACAGTATACACAGTAAACACAGAAAGAAATCGACAATTCTTATTATAAAAACGCATGCACTCTTTTCTAGAAGTTTTTCTTTTCACACGAAGCAGCCAACGGTAAATGACAGTATTGCATAACGTGACAATTGTCAAGGCTTCAGCGATATCTACAGCACAAGGTTTTACTTGACAATAGGAATTAATCGAATAAATAATCGAAGTCTCTTCGGAAAGATCTGGTATCTCTACTTTAGCAATGAGTGCGAGTGAGAGGGACTTAACCAAGAGCGTGTTGATTAACCGGTGATGATGTTTGGCGGTTTAAGTAGACAACATAAATATTCTCATAATTGTATGATGAACTCCGTTATGGAATAAATAACAAATAAAGTAGAAGTTAATCCTTAAGTTGAAGTTTGTCCGTATTTATTGAACTTATTAGGTACATTTACATAGAACATATGTAACTATAGATAATATAGCCCATTTCGTCAACGAAATTATGCAGTATGAGGGAGTCTCCCCATTGGGGGAGTTATTTTTTGGACACCTTCAAAAAAGTGAAATAAGCTGTGGGCGTCCATAGGAAAAATCACCTAATCCTGCCCCGGAAGCTGCGGTGCGGGCACGAAGCAAACATTGTTGTTCTCATCAAGGCCAAGGACTACATGGCTTTCATTTAATGGCCCATTTCTGTTCTGGGATGTGGTTATCTTAACATCCCTCGGACTAGAAGCATGTAGATTGCCGTAAAACGTCTCCGGACGAGGGGCGACGGCGTTGGGTTTGGGGCCACTCGGGTTTGCAGCTGTCGGTAAATAAATAAACGCGGTGTTTCTTTTTAGGTAATGCTCATATTTACGTTTGGTTTTGTTTGTAGCACTCGAGACGCTCTTCATTTTGCTAGTTTGCGATAATATTTGATATGTTGAACAGTAGCAAAACGAAAAGGCAACTGGACAAAAACTGGACCAATTCTTCCGAAATTTTTTTCTTTTGACGCGAAGCAGAAAACGGTAAATGACAGTGTTGCGTTACGTATTAATTGTCAAGGCTTCAACGATACCTACAGAAAGCTTCAAATACACGGTTTTACGTGATAATAAAATATCGAATCATTTTTAAATACAAATAATATTAAATAATAGTCTTGTTGAAAGTTAGATCATGATTATTTAACTTATATCCATTTACATAGTACATATGTATGTATGTAAGCTTAGATGATATAACCCAGCTTCGTCAACGAAAGCTGTGCAGCATGAGGGAGGCTTTCCATTGTATTGTTTGTTATTGTTATTGTTTGGATACCTTCAAGAAAGTGGAATGAGCTCCACAAAAGGCGCATTGACGGGCGTCCATCAGAAAGATCACCTAAACAAAAGATAAAGCCGAATTATTTATATAATCAAACATGTATACATATACATATGTACATATTTATTATGTATGAGCAAAATCTGAGTAAGGTAAGTACTTACTTCGGGATGTTTTGGGCATGGCTGGGAAAGTCGGCCCACGAAGGATTGATTGCAGCGGCTGCAGACAATGAGATCGTCACGCTTTCGCTCACAAATGCAAAGCTTCTCAACGCATTTAGTGTTAAGATTGTAGTTGGAAAAGTTATGAATCTTCTGAAACTCCATTTATTCCTGTATTTCGCAATGAGCTGAACTGAAAGCTTTAGCCTGAAAAATAAAACGAAGATGGCCTCGATCGCTTTGTATGGTATCGATATGCAACATCGATTGCCCCCGTTCAATTGATAGTGAAATGTTAATTTCGAATTTAAATTTAAATTAAACTGCTGAGCTACTGAACAGCACACAGTAGGCACTAGGAGTAAGAACTAAAAAAGCTCTGAGAGATTAAATGTGGTTTGTTTGCTTAACAAAGCTGAACAAAGCACACTTTTCTTCATATAATTTTATAAGGAGATATTCAATTAGCATATTGTTTTCGATAAAATTTGTTACATAAGTTAACTATTTTTGCTCTGCTGTATTATATTAATAGTAATTTATTAACCATCATAAAATTAAATTCTAAAATCTTATCCTTTTTTGTATATAAAAACCAATTAGAGTATATCCCTGCGGCATTTGCGTAGCTGCTTGCGCAATAGAATAGAATCAATTTCTGCCTGCTTCCTTTTTTCCTCCTCCTCAATATTCCTCCGTATTGTTTCCGCCTCATTATTGGCCTTCTCCGAGATAAAGTGAACCTCTGGCAGGAAGTCCAAAATTCCTTTTTTTATTAGATACTGATAGTTCATAGAAACCGTGTACTTGATGTCCTGTCCCGTCACCTGGCTGAGCTCCTGCCAGTGGATGTACATCCAATTTTCGTTTCGTAGGTCCCGTATGCTGTTGTACACTGGGATGAAATCATCGATTTTCTGAATAAACACTTTGGCAACTTCCATTATCTCGTGTTTCTCATTAAATATTTGCATGGACTCGACAAGCTCATCGCGCAGTTTCATAAGATTGACCCAGACTTCCTCAAGGTCTAGCTGGGCTATGGGGTTGCCCTCGGTGGCATCCTGGAGCTTTAGGAAGTTTGCACAGGCGTACCATAAATCTTTGTACGGAATAAAGCTATTAATGATGCTCGTTAAGAACTCTACGGAGAGCGGTTCCAGTTCGAACAGTTCTTGACGATATTGTAAGGTCTGGCTGATCTTTTCAAGTTCCTTAATCAAGGCCCAAGTCTTCTTAATATCCACAGATGTCTCCTGAGCGCGATTCGTATTGAATGCCAAGGAATAGGCCTGCACCTCATCGTTCAGCGATTCCAAACGCTCCTCGAACGCTTGACACTCGCCACTATGCTGTCGCAAGAAGTCTTCTATATCAATTTTCTGCTCCTCTTTAAGGGTTGACAGGCGCATCATTATCTGGTGCGGCCAGGCAAATGCCTTCCACTTCATAACGAACTGGTGGTCACTTAGATTATAAAAGAAGCTGTCCAACAGGTCGTACTCAAGCCACATGACCTGTATATCCGCCTTAAGTTCCTCCACCAAGTCCGGCACCTGTAGGCCAAAGTCTCGAATTTCGTACAAGTGCTCAATGCTGTTGGGTCTCTCGTTAATCTTTCGGTACATATCAGCGCTGCGCTCCAAAATGGCGTCATTCGTCTCATACATCCGGTCCAAATAGTACTCAAAGATCCTTCTCACAATATCTATGCGTTTCTTGATCATATACTGTTTCATTGTGTCCACGTTTATGTAGAATGGTCCGATGGTTATAAATGCCGGCAGGATGACACGGACCTCCTCCTTCAGGCGTTTGTGCTCCAGTATGTCCCACTTCACCTCGGACGACGGCTTATGAGCCTCGGCATAGGCAGTCATATATTGGTTAATGTTCAACAGGTAAAAGTCGATGAATCTTTCATAGAGCCTGGCATAGGCCTTTAGTGGCAGCACAGCCTTAGCGTAGCATCTCATAATCAGGTCATTCTCGACCAGAAACATGTCTTCAATCAGCTCGACCGTCAGGATATACAAATTGGGGGCGTATTTGAGAAAGCTCATAACAAACGCGTCTATTAACCTGACACCGGACGTCTTTTCCAGACACCTCTTGAAGATGTCCATTAGTGCGGGCTGAAACTCATCCGGATCGGTGGAGTAGAACACCTTACGATCTTCGCTTATGCCCAAAGTCATCGCAAACACCGGCTTGTGGTAGGGGAATTCAGTTTCGATATAGTCATTGGTCCATTTATAGTTGGGCTTCAGTTCCAGGAACTGCAGGCAGGGATCACACACAAAGTGCGAGAAGTTGAGCAGGGAATTTTCGAGGAGCACCTGCATGGACTCCTGCATGCGGAACTTGACCTGCAATATGAACCTTGATATTTTGCACATTAGATAGACCGTCCAGGTGTTCAGCGATATATCAAGCCATCCCTTGCCCAGGGCTCGCAGCACCACAGTTATGCAGGAGGTGAGCTGTTGCGGCCAATTAAACTTTAAGAACGTGGCCACGTTGTCGCTATGTGCCTCCTGTCCCTGCAGGAATTCGACCAGGGCCAACGGCTTACTGAACGTGCAGATGAAGATGGAAAGCGTCTCGATATACTGGCATTCGATGTTTACCCCGGCCATGGCCTCGATACCACCCAGGCAGTAAAAGAGGGTCGCCTTGAGAAAGTCGTAACGCTTATCCGGCATGATTATTCCAAGACCTTTCAGCTGCTGGCGCTCCATGCCAGACACATCAACGGTGAAGGATCGGGGTAGGAACTCTTTCAGGTTAATATTACGAAATTGCGGAAACTCCTTAGGCATTTTTAGAATAAACTGTTCTAGTTCGTAGAGTGCCATCAGACGCTCAAACACCAGGTTTACCTCCGAACGCAAGCGTCTCTTGCACTGTTCCGATACCTTTGCCGCCTGCAGCACCCGTTCGATGGGCTTGAAGCTGTAGAAGACCGTGGACTCAATGTCCTCGTGAAGGACACAGTCGACTATCAGCTCCATCAGCATAAGTTGTTCTCCCTTGTGTCGTTCGTGGACCGCGGACTGGAGTCGGCTTATAAACTTGTACGGGTCCTCGGCCATGAACATGAACTGTAGCTTGGGCACCGAATAGGTACATCCGTCCTCCAAAGATAGCAGCGTCCAGAGATCCGTATCTTTATTGTGGGCTGTAACCGCCGCCATAACCCACTGACAGTTCACCAGACTCTGATTGAAGGGCAGGAAGGCCCTCGCTGGCAGCGGATAGTGAACGTCTCCGACGATGCCGAGCTCAAACCAAGCCTCCGCCGAGTTAATATCAAAGTTGCTGTCATCGAAGTAGCTCAGGGGAAACTTGTGCGGAAAGGCGAACTCGGACATAATATTGTACTGCTCCTCCGTTGGCTGCAGCACATCGTTGGTGAGTCCCGCCTTGGCCAGCTCCTCCACCAAATTGATCTTCTGATACTGACGCCGACGACGGTCCACCTCCACGTCCTTGGGCAGATGACGCTTGGGCACGTATCGGGTCTGGATAACCTTCGGCAGAATCGTGGGCAATGGAAATCGATGCGGCTTCCCAGCCTTGTCCATTAGCGTCAGCCAGCGCTGTGCCTCTTGGATGGGATAGAAGACGTCGGTTAGCTGATTCCTTGGGATATACAGCTCCTGGAAGTTCATCACAGCTGTCCCTGGGCGTGGCGGCATTATGCATATAGTTTTCTCCACTTCATGCTTAATACGTATCTCATCGAAGGTAACGGTGACACTACTTGCACGATCATCACTTTCTTCTTCAAGAGTTTGTTCAAGGGAATTTTGAGAATCCATGTTGTGGTTTTTGTTTTGCTTCGTGGGTTTCGAAGTGTTTGTAAAGGCGTTATTTCCAAGGTGTTCTGTTCTCAAATAAAATGTAACAAAATAATTATATACAAATAATAAGAAACTTTATTTTTGGCAAGGTTTTAACAGGGCATTTTAGGTCTTTACATGTGGCTATTCTTGTTAGCAAAATTAAGATCATAAATATACTAATAAAAATAAATTAATACATTTATAAAATTATCGTTATGAAAACGGGTGGTTCTTGTCTGTGCTTTTTATTTGAAATCGTGGTAAGCAGTGCGAACATGATGACAAAGCAGTTTATCAAGCAGTATTGCTCGTTCAGCAGTTTTCAGTGCGACCAAGTTAATATACTGTGAAAAATACCAATCGTAACTAGTTAGTTTTCAGCATTTTAGCTACAGGTCACACTGCCACATTTATCTGAGGAGCGCTACAAATGCAAACTCGGACGCTCGTCGTTCAACCGGCTCGTTGGTCTAGAGGTATGATTCTCGCTTCGGGTGCGAGAGGTCCCGGGTTCAATTCCCGGACGAGCCCAAGTGGATTTGGAAGTAGTTTTTTTTTGTTTTGCTTTTCCTTTTTTAGAACGTTATTCTTTTACGCATCTTAAATTAATATCAGAGTTGTCTCTTGCTATTAAATATATGAAGTGGCTTAAATAGTTGTGTTTTCACCTTAATTATGAATAATTATGCTTCTGATTTTAAAATTAACTCTTTTATACGGCTATGTGTCTTAGATCTTTGTATGTTTGAATTTAACCTAATAATTTTCTTATTAGATCAAGAATTATATTCCCACTTGAAAATAACTCATTTTAAACAAATAATACCTATAGAAGTGAACGTTAATCAAAATAATTTAATGAAAGATTTCTGTAAAACTGTTGTACAACTTTTAAAACAAATAAATTATTTTTTGGCAATTTAAATGATTAAGACTTGACAAAGTGGCTAAATGCACTTGTTTTGAGCTTGTTTTATATCCCTGGTTCTCCATTATTAATTATGTACATGCGTAAGCAAAAATGTTTTTTGTTATTTTTTGTAGCATTTGTTTAGTTTTTTTTTAGTATTAGGTTTTGAAGTACTTAGAACAATAAACGGGTTGATATTCCCCATAAATTGATCGGAGTGTTTAAATTACAATTCAGAATAATAATTTCGTTTTCTTTTTCTCTATTGTTCCAATGCTCTTGAGTATATGTGAAAGGAATACCCAAATATATCATTTCCTTTTTTTTTTTTGTTAAGATTACTTAAATTGTAAGCGCTGCCGCGGACTTGTCGGTTGTTTTTTACTTTTTTTGTTTGTTTTTATATTTATTCGTTATGCAGGGATTTTTGAATTTATGTTGAGGGATAAACAGTCTCTCTATGGATGTCCATGTCCAATGCCTCACTCGTATTCCAGCACGTTTTTATGGTAGAACAATAAATAACTGAAAAGAAATTAAAATATTATTTAGTAATGTATTTAAAAATGAATTAAAAATCGTAAACAAACTTGTGAAATCAACTAAAAATCACCCAAAACTTACCCCTCGCTGTCCAGCACCTGCTTTAGCGATGCCATCGTTATCACATGATCATCGCACTTAACCCATGTGTCCTTCTGGTGCCGCACATATGCCGTGTAGTGTCCCGTGTCGATGGTGCCCACATGGTTGACAACGGCGTACAGAGAGAAACGGAAGTCACCGTAGGCATTCTTCTTCTCGGACATGAACGGCGTCATATCGAACTCGACGGGGAATTGAATAAAGGAGGAGATCTTGCGATCGATCAGAGCCGAGTGCTCAAAACGCTTCAAATGGAAGGAAACAACGCTGGGCAGAGTGCGCAAACTGAACTGTTTGGTGGACTCCTGGTAGGATTTGCACGTGGAACACTTGATTTTAGCGGCCGAACCAAGATGCTCGGCTCGCGTATACCGCTCCAGGCAGTCGATTAAAGTTTTTGGGGTAACGCCACCATGCGTTGTCGTTTCTCCCAAATCCAGTGAAATATCCCAAAAGGGATCAAATGTGGTAGACACACCATTGCAGGCTTGACAAACCACATCGCTCTGCAGCATGCCCGTAAAGATCTGATCAATGATGCAATTGCATTGGCCATAGCAATGCAAGCTGCTTGAACTGCTGGAATTGGTACCGCCGCTGCCGGAACTCGAACTATTGCTCTTGCTCTCGTGCTCCGATTTGGCTTTGACGCAGTGGCGATGCAACACATCCAGTGTGGCGATGAAGAACTCGTGCGCATCCTGCTGTTCGTAGCCAGCGAGGTGCTTGGCATGGTTCCAAATTAAATGCAGCAGGCGGTGCAGCGACAATGGCGATCGGGAGCCCGAATAGAACTCCTATGAAGAATAGAGAAATCAAGAAATTAGTGAGTAAATAGAACTAAGAGGTCCCAATCTTAAAAGTACAATATCTCACCTGGAAGAGTCGCGACACTTCACAGACAAGACATTTGTGCGAGGACTTGCTACCGCAATCATGGCGATCCGACATAAAGTAATCACTCAACAGAGGAGTATGCACTAGAGCCTAGAAATGGGAATACCTTGGATTATTTGTATGTATTTATTTTCCTCCAATTCCGGACTGACCTGAACAATACAGTTCATGAAGCAGGTGGCCCCCAAATTGAGCAACCCCCTCAATCCGATCGTTTGATTTGGTCTAACCAATCTCCGCCTTGCATTGGCCAGCAGCAGATTCGTCTCTTTGGCGGTAGGTATCCACGGCTGCCATCCGAGACTCTTCTGCAGATCCTTGGCCTCTAGCTTACGATTGATCAGCGCATACTCCCGGCTCCTCGCATCGTAAATGAAATCCCTGCAGGCATAGCAATACAATGTTCCGTGGGATAACTCCAATGCCACGTTGTGCTTCTTCGATCGCAAATGACTTGTGATGTGGGCACCACGGCATCCAAAATAGATGCAGTGCAGGCAAGCGTACAACTGGATGCCATAGCTGCCGCACTCGAAGCAATTGCAGTGGATCGCCTGTAGGTTAAGAAAATATGGGTGTTAATAGAAGGTTATACGTATTATTTCAAGATAATTAATAATAAAGTACAAACTGACCGACGTCAGCTACTTATGTACATTTATCAGCTTTACGACAGGGTCAATGCCCTTAATTGTTACTGAGTTACGATTATGCAAACCGTGCCATCAACAGTTTTGGTTATTAGTTATACTTCTCCATTATTATATAAAAATTAAATTAGCTTAAATTATTTGCACTCACTGAAACGATATTTACTGCTAATTTTTTAACAAATTTAAATTTAAAAAACTCGTAATTAAGCCAAACAAATTTATTTAAAATCGGAAAGCGGCCCGATGTTTTATTAAGTTAAAAATACTCAATTTAATATTTAAATAAATTAAAATTTTTGGCAATTTTTGACAATTTTAACAGTGTAACCCCTTATAAAATGTTGAAAAAATAAAAAACAAAAATTTCCTTTAAAGATGTTTAGATAGACTCGCCTATGGATGCTGATAAAAATATATATGCTTTCACAGGTTACAAGCTTCTGATTAAAATAATTAAAAAAACCCTGCAAGGGTATTATTACTTTCTAATTGTCACTTATTTAAGCTCACTAATTAAATATACAAAGTACTCGTAGATTTAAAGGGTATATTCAATATGTGAGTATAAGTATTTCGAACAAATTAACACAATTCATCACTTTTTAAATTTATTTTTATTAAACTGCTACCTTTTGCCGTGACTGATTAACAGTTAAGCAAATGATTGCACATCTCCAAATTTCGGTTTTTCTCTCACACTGTCTCACCTTTGCACTACCTTTCTCTCACCAAATAATCCTCTCTCCCAGTCCTTTTTGCTCTCGAGCCAATTTTCCCACACCCACTCCTTCCTTCACTATTCCTTTCGCTCTTTCTCACCAGTGTTGTCAATTTAGCTATTACCTAAATTGCAAAATATCATAATTATTCAAAGCTATTCAAATGTTATGAGATTGGCCAACTTTTCGATTTCAAAATAGTCACAAACACATTAAACATTCGTATGCGAATTTAATTTTTTCTTTTATCACCTGAAGAGCTGGCAACACATATTCTCACCTTCTTCTCTCGCGCATCTCTGTTGACGCAGGCAGCGAAGTAGGCGTCGATGACCCGGAATGTATCGTAGCTGTGCTCCTTCACGTAGCTTTGATAATGCCGGCAGCCCGTCTCTGACATGACAGCGCTGCTGGCTTTTGCTTCGCTGCTCGCGTTGGCGTTGGCTTTGGCGTCGACGTCGCTGTCAAGTTCAATAGCAAGTTTTTGCACTGTGCGCAGGCAATTGGTTAAATGTAAATGTGTGGCGTTCAGTGGGCCGTGGCCCTTTGTTAGCTGCTCCTTCGGCCTCTCCTCCCTCTCCTCTTTCGCACGGCTTTCCCCAAACCCACCGCCTCCACCGCCGTCCCCGCCGCCACACCCACTTTTAGCAACAGCTTCGCTTAAGCCCGCCGCACACCGGCCGGCAGCTGTTGTGGTTGCTGTTTTGTTCTCGGCCGTTCCCCGGCCCGTTTCCGTGCCCACCGCCGGCCGTTTGTTGTTGCTACCGCTGCCTGCGCCGCTGCCCGCGCTGACGCCGCTGCTGACGGTGCTGCTGCCGCTGCTTACTACGCTCGTATTGCTATCAACACTATTTTCTTTTGTTTTCGTTCGTTTCGCTGGCTGCAATTGCCTATCACACTTTCGCTGTTTTCGCCGAATTTTGGCCACTTTTGCGGTTTTGGGGGATATTTTAGTTATTCGCTTTTAATTTCTGTGATTTTCGCTTCGTTTTTTGTTTCTGTTTCGGTTTCAGCTGGAAAAACATCGATGTTGCTATCGGTGCTATCGATACGTGCTCGATTTCCCACAGTTCCAAAATGTACACAATCGGTAACAAGGGTCTAATTTTGCCGCAAATATTTTAGCTGAATTATAACTGGTAACACTCCATAAGTATAATCTGGTAACATTGCAGAAGTATAAACTGGCAACACTATGACGGATTTGTTTTTGTTTTTCCCTGTCCACTAATTGGCTTCGCGTACCGGTAGCAATGAAAATATTTGCTAACCTGTGGATTTTGGCGGTGTTATTGGTTCCATTGGCTGCCACTGCCACGTCCTCTCCCAGGGCTGGCCAGGCGACCATCAGAGAGTGCCCCGGCCGGAGTGTGCCTCAGATCCGAGCAGAGGCGGATGACTACGAGATCTCTCTCATTCTCTACTACGTGTCCTGGGCAAGTGAGGCACGACAGGCGCGCCGGGTTTATAATGACCTGACGCCCTACTACCAGGAGTATGCCTTCTTCGGGGCGATTGATTGCTGGCACCTGCTTTGCAATTGTAGCCGCACTCTGCAGCCCGCTCCCGGAGTCGTGGGCGCCGGCGGCTATCCGGACAAGTGGCCCACGCTGGTGGTGCGCTACGGCCAGAAGCAGATACTGCAGTACCAGGGCGTGTGGAACTTTGAGGACCTCGCCCGTTTCATGAACTACCTCATCCAACCGATTGATCGGGCTCACAGCAGCCAGGAGTTGGCGACCATTAGGAAGCACTCGGATGCCGTGGTGTTGGGCCTGCTAGAGTCGCCAGATCAAGGGGAGTACAAGCGGTATCTGGGAGCAGCTATTCGCTGGCTGGAGCTGGACCCAGAGATAAATATTCGCTTTGTCGTGAATTTCGGAAGCAGTGCCAAGAAGATGTTGAAGGCTCCGGACACTGCACTGCCCCAGTTGGTGGTCATCGACAGTCGGAATGCGGTGCACACGTTCAACAGCTCGTTGAGTGGCGGCTGGAAGACGCTGGACATCCTGCGCTGGGTGCGCCACACTCTTAGGAACATGTCGCTCTTCTCCAACGGCTACGGCACGCCTATGAGAATTGCCATGAAGGCACGGCATGTTCCCGTCCTGGCAATGGGCGTACGGATGAGTCAAATGCCGCTGGTCATGGGCGATGAGATAAGTGCGGCCCAGAGGAAGCAAGCGGAGACCTGTGAGGATTACTGGAACAGAGTAGAGCAACAGGCGGAGGAGTCATACTCGCTGCTCCAAGTGCCAAACGAATTGTATTGGGAAAGGGAGCATGCCGATCGATGCTATTCCGCTTGGCGCCGAACCAGAAGCACACTGGCTAACTACTATCGGATCAACAGGTACCTGAAGCATCTGTGGACGCAGTACACCCACCAGAGTCACCTGAGAAAGCGTAATGTGCCCCACCTGATAAACCTGCACTCCAGAAACATTTGTCTGGCGCACTCGAATCACGGAACGCCGGCTATGAAGATTGGGATTTCAAAAATGGTTACCAAGTACGGCCAGCTAATCTGGCAACATTCGGCGGAACAGGCCTTCCACAATCGCTCGCTGGGCGTGGTGATCTTTGACTCAGTGAGATACCGGGACTACCTGCAACAGCTGGGAATACAACAGCAGCACCAGCACATACAGGTCTTTATCATTGACGCGGCGGAGGAGTCACTGTACGTGATGCCGCAGCAGCAGCAGCATCTCTCCTTCTTGTATGCGGCCCTCAAGGACTTTATTCGGCAGTTTTATGCCCGAACTCTGCCAAGGATTCACAAGAACGCGTTGCCATCGATGGATTCCGAATTCAGCCGCAACTACAATAGGCAAATGCTGTTGCATTCGCTTCATCTACCGAATGCCACCAATGTGGTCTTCATGTATCGTCCAGACTGCGCTTTATCCGCCGTATTATCGCAGGCCTTCCTGCAGGTTTCGGCCCTTCTCAGCAGCCCCGAGTTGCACTTCGTCCGGTTCGATAGCCAAAACAACGATCTACCCTGGGAACTGGCCATGCCAATCTCCCCCTCGCTGATCGTTTTCCCGCAAACGAAACCCGCCGAATCCGTGGTATTCCCCACCGACGTGCGCATAGATGTACAAAGCGTCTTTGCCTTCGTTATTGCCCAACTGGAGCCGGAGCAGCAGCTGCGTTCGGTCCTAACTAGCTGCCGACGGCGGACACGGAACGTTCGGAGCTGCCTGGACTTTGCACGCAACCTGGTACTGCAGCATGTGAGCCAGTACCTTAAGTACTGGGAGATTTATGAACGGGAGCGGGACGCAATTCTCTCCCACCTCAAGGAGTTCAACCACCTACACATGGCCATCGAGAGCAGCATACGGTTATAGCGATATCCCAACGATTTAGACTCCTAGCTAGTTCTGATAATTATTCCAGGCCAAGCAACGATGCCTGCCCGCACGCTCCTCAACTGTAGCCAGTAAGCCCAAAGTTGTCTTTTGTTAAGATATTTAACACCCATAGGGGAAGCTATAAATAAATAATAAATTAAGTACAAATTTGACTCAAATTTCGAAGTAACATTTCAGAATATGCAAGCAAAGCTAAATCTATATCTCGCTCTATTCACTGCTCCAAAGAGTTGAGGAGGATACACTCATCCGTGTTGGTGCCTTTTTTCCGTCTCCCTTTTCATAAGTTTGTTTATTTTCAAAAGTTTGTTTATTTAACTATACGATGCCGAGAACATTCTTGACAATGGAAATCAAAAATTTTTGCGTGCATATGCTTTATTTCGTATTTGTTGATCAGAATCGATATCGGATTAAATGGAACAAGCAAAGAAACTCATTTCTTCAGAACGTGAATGCATATAAATTCGATTGTTTGCAAATGCTGTTATCAATTAATATTCTTACATTACATTAAATAAAAGCTGCATTCAGTATAACTTCCACTGCTTCTGACCATTTTAAGTCTATTAAGAAGATCCATAGATGCAACTCGACACTTCTTCAATTGTGCGCCATTCATGCGAGTTAGGATGTTGTGTTCATTTTCCAAATAGTATGGGAGTCGACCGGTCTGAAGGTGTTCCACCAAACGGCCCCACATCTCCACTAGGAGAGTGCCCAAATCCTGCTGCCAGTCCACTTTCTCGATCTGATTGAGCAGCACAGTCTTCAGCATATAACTGGAGAGGTGAGGCATCTTCTGGGCATTAGCGTCCCGCATTCCCTTCATCAGGCGCAAAATATTCTTCAAATTGTCCTTCTCCTTCATCATTTCCCGCTCCCAGTGGGGAGCAATGGCCATAAAATTAGTATTTCCCTTTGATTTCTTCGGCTTAATCTGCGGAATGGCAAACCATGGCCATTCCTGGCGCACCTTCTCAGTGACCGGCGGAACCGGCAAAGGCCATTGGGCTCCGCTAAATTCGAAAGCCGGCACCAGATCAAACTTGATTTTGCGGGTCGCACCTACCGCTTCAATGGTGTGGGCACACCCGTACCCCTCCAGGGTATAGCTAAGTCTGTAAAACTGTCGGCTGGAGCTGGTAAAACTACATTCCGGCTGGAACACCTTGTGGAACGCGTTGCGTAGCCAACTTTGCAGCTTCAACCTATGAATGCGGCCACAGGACGCCACTATAAAGGGAGCATTCAGATAGATAAACGCTGAATTGTCATGCTCCGGAGTGATGTTTAGTGGGAACTTTAGTTTCATGTGCATATCGAATTCATCGGGAGTATTAAGCTTGACGCGATCCAAGTAACTTCCTAAAATGAAATAGTTTTATGTGTATTAATGAACACAATTTAATTTAATTACTTAAATTTGTGCCACTTAATTACTTTCTATACTTTTCTGCAAAGTTGTTGCTGAGTAATAGTAATCTTTTAACAAAACATTTTTATTGGTCAAAGTTCAATAAAAAGAATTAATTTTTATAATGTAACTTAAACGGAAATAGATTATTTATGGCTTGTAAAAGATAAGATTCTTAAACTTTACTAGCAATAGTGAGTCAATCATTACAAGAGTAGTAACCCGTAACTTAATATTTTACATATGTAAGAGTTTGTCACATTAAAAAAAAACCCTTTAACTTTAAACAACAAAATAATTAAATTAGGACAACAAATGTTCAACAGATTTATGTGCTTATATTAAAATTACAATTTAAATTCCATTTTTAATAACTCACCGCCCAAGCTGAGGCCGTTGAAAACTTCTCGAAAAGTGCCATCGACTTTTTTAAGTTCCTCAATCACAAAATTCTGAATTTCCTCAGCATCTTTTGTATAAACTGCGCGATCTTCATCAGAAATGAGCAATTTCTGCAAAACCTCTTGCAAATTTGCGGCGAAGCTCATGATTAAGCGGAATTATAAACTGACTTCTTCTCACTTCAAAGTTTTGAATACCAATAACTTTTTGGTTCTGATCAGTGTTGCCAGGCTATGGCCACCCGTATAACCTAGAATTTTAGCAAAAATAAGTTAAATACAAAACATTTCAGCTGGGCACACTAAAATGTCTCGAAGTTCGGAAAAAATAAAACTCGTTGATGAAAGGATCTACAAAAAAATCCAGGATAAGGATGATGGACCGAGGATAACTCCACGCAGCTCCAAGTACAAAAACCAACACAGAAAAGCGGAGCAGCAGTCGACGCTCCTAGACTTTGTGGTCAAGCCACGCCAGACACAAAGGCAAATCAAAACACGGAAGCTCAGGAAGCGGCCGCATCTAACAATAACAACAAGGTGTTCGTATATTGCACCCAAAGCCAAAGGCAAGACGCGACTGGTTCCCAAGAAGAAGGAAACCAGGCTTAAGAAGTCCATACGGAGGTTTCGCACCTTGAAGAAGGCTGATGGGGAAGCTGAAGAGATCGCCCAGGAGAAGCATTTCGAGAACCTCTTTTCGGTGGAGGTACAATTGCAGAAGCTATCCCTTGATGAAATCACAAAAGAAGATTTAGGAGAGACGAAGAAAGTGCCCTCCATTCATTCCCGACGCTTTAGAAGGTTTCTTGTTATATCTAATCCCATGTCACAAGCATTTAATATTTCTAATTTCTCGTAGCTATTGCGACAACTGCACCCGCCCTCACCTCAAGCAGTTGGCCATCCAGTTGCTCAAGGATCTGGATCGCTTCCAGAAACGTGCCTTCGTCAAAAATGAGATCAAGGCGCGAGCCCATCCTCGAATTGTACTGGGAATCCGCGAGGCCTTGGCCAGGCTTAGGATTCGTAAAGTGAAGCTTCTGCTTATGGCCACCGATTGCGAGGTCTGTCCCGGTGAAAGTGGACTGGATGAGACGATAGAAGGCCTTAAAACCCTTTGCCAGCAGCAGAGGGTGCCCTACTGCTTTCCTCTGGCTAGACGTGAACTATCCTATGCCCTCCAGAAGCGGGCCCAAATCTCCTGCGTTGCCATTCTAGATTACGATGGAGCCCATGAAGTATACAATGATCTTATGAAGGAACTAGAGGATGCCCGTGATGAATACAAACGCTTGACTGCTGTTACGTGATAATATAATTATTCTGTGACGGAAAGACATAAATATAAGTGCCAGGAGGTGCCAAAGAAAACATCTAAGAAGCCGTTTAAAGTTGCTCTTGCATTTAGCCAGTTGGCGTAAGCATTGTTGTGGTCACCAGATCGTGCAGGGTGGAGCTACCATTATACATATCTGTGGCTGCGCCAACAAGACCGGCGGTATCATTCAGAGAGCTGAATGTCTGTATGGCCTCCTTGGCTTGCTGGGCGGCCAAATTGAACTGGATCAAGATAATCAGGTAACTGGTGATGCCACCACTCACACCATACAACGTCTCCATGTCCAGGGTGAAGAAGCCGCAGGCGGAGAAATCCACCGAGTGGTTGAGTAGCTTCAGTGACAGATGATTAACGATTTCGTATAGCAGATTGTCATCGGCCACAACACCGCACTTGTGCAGACTTATTCCAGTGCGTTTGGAGGCCAACGAGGTCTTCCAGCTCAAGTAGATGAGGTACACACACTTTCCGGACGTATAGCTCAGGGCGATGACTGTTATCAGAGGATTCTTAGCGGATCTGAAAAGCGACGGAATGGACTGGAATTGGGTGGCGCAGTATAGGAAATACAGTTGGGCCGTGAATATTAGAAAGCCGTAGGCCATCAAGGACAAAATAGGATAGCTCCACATCTCATTCATCGCCTTGCCGATTTCGCAGATCTCGTCGTGCACCTGGCACAGGTTGTTCAGCTTCTCCTCCACCTTGGCGGCATTTCCCAACTCACTTTCGTGTACCATGTTTGAGGCCAATGGATTCCGGTTGCCAGCTTTATCTGAGGCTGGCTCGATGGGTTCGCCGAATGAATTCATAGAATGGGCCACCGGCGCCACCTTGTTCTTCCCCGAACCGGACATTGAACTACCCTTTCCTATTGAACCCATATCCAATCCTCCGAGCTCCTTGTACAGATACTCCAGATTGCTGTCGTATTGCGGCGGTTGGGAGCTGTCCAAGGGAGGAGCTGCCGCTTCGTGATCACCTCGGAGCCAGAGCTTAAACTTCTCGTGCGTGGCCACAAGCTCCTCAAGCGTGGAGTTGATGGCTTCGAAGCGCTCCTTTAACGCATAGAGCGAGACGGCAAACCAGATCTTGTCCAGCGTGTTGATGAAAGTGGGAATTGCGGAGATTAGCCATAGCACCGACATCCACTGGGTGTAGTCCACCAGCTTGATGTAGGTGGCCAGCAAAATTGATAGCTCAAAGATGACCGTCATGGCGACCATGATTTTGATGCGACGCCCAATCGTGCTGTTGTCAATCACACACTTCTCCTGGTACAGGCGTTCGTCCACCTGCCGGATGCGCTCGTAGAGCTCGCCAATCCTGCCCTGATTCCGTAAAGCAGTCAACTGGTCGGTGCCCATCATGATGAGGCCAATGTAGGTGAGAAACAGTCCAATCACGAAGGTCAAGGTGCCTGCGAAGAATAATAAGTAAATAAGTAATTTATATCTGGCTACCCACTCCAATTTTCATGCTCCACTTACTTTGCGAGGCCTTGAGCGAGCGGTCCTCCTCCCCGAAGGAGTAGATGAGGACGTTGTAGAGCAGCACATACACCACCAGAGTGACGAGCATATAGATCATTCCATTGCGCGACTTCTCAAGCACATTTCGCGTGCGGAACTTCTCCAGGTCCTGCGGAAGAATCCCCACTATCTTGGAAATGAAGAAGAGCTGCTGAAACTGCTCTAGCAGGGGTTGAACCGCTGCCTCAGACGACTGTTGCTGCGCCATGGGTGTTATCCGTTGCTAGACGAAACTTCGAATGACCAACTGGCAATGGAGAGGACTTCATTATTACCTGCAGCTTGCACTTAGTCTGATTAAATTGTGCCTGAGAGCCCCCCGGAATCGATACTATCAACATGACCCATCTACTACGCCGCGTTGGGTCAACTCAAAGCCATAATGCGGATGAGGTGGTGGCCTAGAGCTTTTTATTAAATAGGGAATTTGAATGGGGTTGCTGATTACATTAGACGGTTGATGTAATGCTTTGTAATTTTAGAGCCAAATATTACACGGCCTGTTTATTTAGTATGCGAATAAAATTTTAAAAAGAGAAAACAGCCAACGCCCTGCGGCCTCCTTCTAGGGCTTCCAGCTTTAGTTTCTCTTGCGGCGTTCATTCTGTTTTCGCTCCTCCTGCAATTAGGATAAGGGCAATTAGTAAATGGACTGGCCATCGGGATCCAAAAAAGGAAAGCAAAGGTCATAATTATAGTTTCACAAAAACATGAGGGAAAACTTTGCAAGACATATTCGGTTCGTTCGGAAATAAATATACTTCCAAAAAAGAGGTTCAAGGAAAACTGCAGAGATCCCTAGCCTGACTTTGTGAAAGTATACTTATTGCCTTGGCTGCACGAAATACCGTTTGAGAAAGGTTTTTTCATAGCGAGACTTTTGACTATCTTTTGCAAAGTGTTCAGCGACCTCTGTTCGGAGATTATATCTGATATCGAGCTATGGCACGAATCGCCTTAAACCATGAAGGTCTTGAGCTGTGTGAGGCGGCTATAGATGCTGATCGGCGAACGGATGGATGGGGGTTAACCTACCTTTTGCGTCAGGATAATCAGCAAACGGCGGAACATGCTGAGCACATCGAAGAACAGATCCAGCGCATGTTGGACCACATCTCGGTTGCCGTTGCGACACTTCACCACTATATTTTGGGTGTCATAAACGATGAAGGCGGCCATGACAAAAACACCGACGTATAGTTGAGTCTATGGATTAATTGAAATTGCAACGATTAGATTATTATCAAAAATACAAAAAAATCTCCATAATACTAAATAATTATTGTTTAATCCGACTAAGTATGCGACTTTACCTTTTACTTTACAGTGTTTCATCTTATCAATTGATATGAGCTTCTATCTTTTCCAATCTATTAACCATAATTTAAGTGGAGGTATAGAATAACAAAAAAAGATTTCCCAACATTGTGATCAATGAGAGAAAACGATATACTGTTTTACAAATAGAATTGGTACTGAAAGTTGTACACTACTGCAAACTACTTCAAGACATTAAAAAATAAACTATAAATCGATTGTATCTATGCATATTCTAGGATCGCCCTTCATCAGTTTCTAGTGCTTCACTACTCACCACTTGCACGAAGTACGACTTGAACATCATGTTGAAGAGACTCAGCAGAGCCATGGTGTTGATGACACTGACCAGCATCCCACCTAGGTAGAGGTACTTGCCCTGCTCGGCCAGCAGAGCGGCCAGGGAGAGCGTGACAAAGGTGACGAAGGTTCCGGTGAGGGCAGACAGGATGATGGCCGGATTGATGCTGCAAATGTAGCCAAGAAGTGGTCCGAGAGTCTGGCCGGAGCAGAATCCAAAGGCGTATAGCATGCTCAGACGTGTGTAGTAGTTTTTGCCGTCGTCCTTGTAGAAGTGCAGGCCCAGGACAAGGACTAGTGTGGCCACCGCCGCCAGGACGCCCAGATCGAGGAAACCACGCATCTGGAGAAGGGCGCCCATTGCGGTAGCGGCGGCAGTGCTGCCCAGGACCATGTACACCTTGGACAGGTGCTCGCGCACGTACGGCTCACTGTTTCGAAAGAGGAGGGGAAGCAGTCATTAGTTTCAAGGACCATCGATCCGCAGGCGACCAACTGTTGATGTGGTCCGATGCCAAATCAACACGTCATGTAATATGACGCATTTGGACCACGGACTTCGGGCTGGACTTGGAATACTTACTAACGGTCGCTGAGTCCGTTCATAAATGTCTGAAAACGTTCATTAAGGTTGTTCACAGTCTCTGCCATTTTTGGTCTTTTGGTTTTTATACACTTGCCGACTATATATCGGTTCTGATTCCGGTTTTCTATCAAACGGAGGAGTGAATTTGAACTGGTGGTGTTTTAACTGAGGACTGACTGCTTATTTTCCCAGTGCCTGCTTATTTTCGTTTGTTTTCTGTATTTCACAAAATTTTCTTCGCCTTTATCAGGGTCCAGTGTTGGGTAGCGTCACGATGGGGCAACACCATCAAGTGCTGTTCACTTATCTTGTTTTCGGTTATGTCTAGATAAGTTAGGTCTAATATGGAAAATTACATATTTTATTATTAGAAAATTTCTTCTACTTCAACTTTAGTTCTCTATGGTGTTATTAAATAAAAAACTAACATAAAAGCAATTAACTTTACAGAAAAAACGCAAATGTTCTGTTTTTCTTAGTTCTGCAAAAATAATCTATATTTGGCATTAAAAATTAATTAAATTATGAATTTTATTGTCTTTTTCTGTTAACCATAGTTAAAGAGCCCAAGAAATTCCAAAATGTCTTACTTATTTTTTTTAAATTTAAATTATCTGTTTTTAATTGAAATTACCTGTTCCATTATGGTCAACACTGATAACAGGTCTTTGTTTTGGCTATTCTCACCTGCGCAGTGTTAGCTAACGTTTTGGAACCTTCCAGATGTTTGCGGAAACTCAATGACGTGTGCTTGACTTGCGCGCGCTTCCTAATTCGTTTTGAAAAGTAACGAGTTTTAAAAGTCTAAAAAATATTGATTTTTATTATAAGGGGCCTTTGCCACCATTAAACCAAATCAGACATAATATTCTCAAAAAACATACTGAAGAGTTATGTATTTTGGGCCGGTTTTGACCGTAACTAGTTTCGAATGCGAAATCTCGTTAATGTTTACAAACTAAATATAAACGTTACCTGTTCTGGCATGGACTTAACAGACTGTTTTGGTTTGCATAATTTCATTTGCAGTTTCGTTTCATCAAGATGACAAATCACAGTTTAAATTGTACAAGACATCGATATACAAACAACCTAGAGCAAGTTACAGGTACTTTCGAACCGCAGACTTTACAGAGAAGAGTAATCGTAATTGGGGGTTAGTGCGGCATGATCTTAATCTGAGTATCGTTTACAAAGTGTATGTACAAATAAAAAGTAAAGCTAAATTTTTAAGAAACGTAAAATGTAGATGATACAATAGGAGCGCTGCTAGGTTGCGTAAAATGAACCGCGATTACTTTATCTTCGAACCTATGTTAGGAACTACATAAAATTTTAGCGTTAGTAAATTACGCTACGCCTAAATGCGGTTATGACTTGTTTATATAGTATAATTTAGTCTAGAAATCATGGACTTAAAGGCGGATGACACACACTCACACTTGACTTATTTCTATATAAACATTTTTCGCTAAAGGTTTCCCGGATCCGTTCGGGGGATCAGTCGGTATATTTAATTGCTGCAATCACTCTCCCTCAGGCACACCGCAAACATATATGATCGATCGACTTAAGTATAGTTTATGGTAATAAATAAAAATTAATAAATATGAGGAGTGTTTACAACAAAAGAACTTCGTAATCTCAATGAAAATACATTAGGGCTAACGATTTTTGTTAATATAACAATTTCAATATCAGGATTGCACAGCACAATCGATTCTTGTTGCATTTTTACATACAATTTTGTTGTCATACAATTATATAAATTCGTTAACTAATAAGATTAGGTATTTGGTTTTTATAATAAGAGTACAAGAGAGAGACACACATAATGCAAGACAGTTTTGGTAAAGGTTGATTATTTTTGCTTTTTTTGAACAATCCTTTTTTCATACGTTTATGTTTTTATTAAATAAACCGAAATATTTAAGAGTACAATAAAATTGAATTTCTGCTGCAAGATGGCGGTGCAGGATTGCTAGTTGTTCGTAGTTCATTATTTGATGATACTGTGCTCATCAGTGTCCAAAGAGTCCCACGCTGACTGCCCCATCGCCTCCTCCTTTGCGGATCCTCCTCCAAATCTTTATCCGCTGGTGGTGTTGCTGATGCTGCTACTGCTACTGCGGTTGAGATGAGAATCCAGGATGATGCGGAGACAGTCCGTCCGTCGTTGGTGGAGATTTGTCAGCATTTCGGCTTACTTTAGTATGTCTAGAGGGAACTATTTATGCTGTATGCCATATGTTCATATCCTACGTATTGGTAATGTTAGATACAAATCGAAAATTGTTTAATTGTGGCGGCCAGCTTGTCATCCCACCAAGCTGTGGCTGTGGCTGCTTGTTATTTGTTAATAGATTGTGTGTTTAGTATATTAGCTGTGTGTTGTATCTTTACTCTCGTATCCATTGCCACAGGCGCTGCTGCTGCTCCTCCTCCTCCTCCGCTTCGAGCATCTCCGGCAGTCAATGCCTGGAGCGATGCTCCTCACGCCTATCACGGTCGCGTTCACGCTCGCGGTCACGGTCCCGATCACGGTCACGCCGTTCCCGGTCCGAAGAGCGATACCGCTCTCGATCCTCGTAGTAGCGCTTCGAAGACGGTGCCTCTGCAGCCTCGGCAACTACCGGTTCCGGTGATTTTCGCGGACGTGCCGAACGACTGTTGCCGGGTGATTAAATGGATATGGAATTAATTCTAATAATTACCTTTACTGGAAATAATCATACCTGTCATCCCTGTAGTGATCTGGGGCCTGACGTTCCCGTTCTCTGCTGCGGGAACGTTCACGATAACTGGAGGGAACGATAAGCATGAATTTACTAACTCATTAGGGATTTATTTTATTAGCTTGTACTTACCCAGCATCCCTTTCACGCTCCCGATCCCGATCGCGTTCGCGCTCACGTGAACGCTCACGATATCTTGACGTAGAGCGCTCGCGTCGCTGACGACTGCGGTGGGATCGTTCCCTGGAACGCGACCTCTCGCGCCGATTGTAACTCTTGGCCTCGATTCCGTGTAGCGTGTCCTGCAGCGAGCTGATCAGGATTTTACAGCGCTCGTCATGCGCTACCTTGGACTGTTTGATCAGGGAAATCGCTGTGACCAGCGTCTCGATGGCGCTCGAATATTCACCAGCTGCCGCATCGGAAACAGCTCTGAAAAGTCAAAGAATGCGTATAAGTAAATGCGCATAACTAATGAAGATAAAAAGCGTAAGCAACGCCCTATTTATACAAACAATATGACGTAAGAGTTGAGTTTATAAAATTAAATCATTGAAATAGTGTGAATTAGTTACCATATTTAACAAAGCACTTTACATTACGGGTATTTTCATTGTTTCTCACTCACCTAGCAATCGCTGAACTGCTGACTGTTCGATTTCTGCTCATCACTTCCTCAAACTCCACTTCTGTGAGCTGTGGACCCATCTGCTGGGGATCGGGGAAGGGTCCCGGTGGCTTACCCTGCTGCGGCGGCCACGGACCGCGTGGTCCATGTTGCGCAAACTGGGGCGGCGGTCCATGCTGCGGTGGCATATTCATACCCTGCTGCGGAGGCATATTCATGCCGGGCTGCGGACCAGGGGCACCGTGCGGTGGACCACCCATGCCCGGATGTTGAGCGGGCCCGCCGGGTTGGTTGAAGAATGCCGGATTTACGTGAGGAGCGGGTGCGCCGTGCGGTCCACCCGGACCTGGTGCAGGCGGGAGGCCACGCGGCGGTCCCTGGGGCGGAAAGCCGCCGTGCATGGGCGGACGACGCCAGTCGGGACCCGGTGGACCCCTTACCGGCATGCCCATGGGTCCTCCCTGAAACTGAAAGCAAAAGATAGGGATTAGTAACACACTCTGTGATAGTAAATCTGGGCTGAGGAATGAGAAGGTGCTGCTTGGGTTGCATGGGGCTGATCTGTGGCATGTCATTATTTTAAATGTTCTGAATACACATCGCTTAAGACTGAGTTAACTTAAGTTGGGTGGTTAGTCTTCTTTTCTATTTAACGCCCTCAGGCTTCGTTAGAGTATATAGTATATCGATTATATAAGTGGACTCAGTGCTTTTTTGGGGGTTTGTTACCATTGGTCGCTGCTGCGGCGGTCCGTTTGGTGGACCCGGCCGTGGTCCGCCTGGCCGCTGCTGACCCGGCCATTGGCCCTGCGCTGACGGATACCGTGGTGGCGGCTGTTGGTTGCCCATGAGCCCGCCTTGCGGATGCATTGGCGGCTATATTTATAATACGAATTACGGTAATGTTGTAGTAGAAGTAGTAGTAGTTGGTTGGTTGGTTGGTTGGTTGTTGTTGTGGGGAACAAGTGTGCGTAAGCGTTGTCAAAGACATGGAATAGAACATAAATATATGAAGCGTAATACATAAACATTTTATATAAACAAGATTGGGAGTAATTACATTACAATTATACTCGCATTAGGATAAACAATAGACAAAAGTAAATTTACAGCGAGAAAGGCACCATGTCCTTCTGACTCTTGATTTAAATCCTTTACAGTTTTTCGTTTTTTGATATCTACAACTTAGCAAGTACAGGAAAAAGAGAATACAGAATGTCTTAGGCTGAGAGAAGTGTTACAACAAAATTGCTCTGAAGTTTTACTCGTAATTAAACCAAAACAACATATTAGGAATAGTACTTAAAATCATAAACAAAACTACAACCTTAGCCTCTTAGTTTGTGCGATGGCTATCGACCAGAGCTTGTAAACAGACAATTGACCGTCCTCTGTTGTGCGTTCTCAGGTGAACTCTTTCTTTTAACCTCTTTTAATGCAAAACCTAAGGAGAGATTTAAACGGTCAAATGCTGTTAGCGAGCTCTGCTTACGCCCGAACAAGATCCACATCTGGGCTGTAAACTTATCTAAACTTATAATGAAAGTTACTTAAGTAACTTGAACTAGCACTTTCGCATAAACTTGATATCAAAGTCGTAAAAGCTACGTGTTCTAAAGTTACTTAAGGCCAGATTTAATATAACCTGGGCCTGTACAAATCCAATATATATTAAAATTTTGCATTCAGAACAATTTTAATGGAAATAAAAAGAAAGATAATAAATGGAAGATAATATATGGGAAGAATAACCAAAAGACATGGGGACTCGGGAGCGGGACAAATACTATCAAATGAGACTTAGGGGTTTGGATGCGGGGACTAATAGATGGGCAACTCACCTGCATACGCGGAGGTCCAGAGTTTGGTCCGCCCACCTGGGGCACCTGCGACATGTGCTGCGGCCGGTACTGTCCCCCGGCTGCATAATGCTGTTCATGCCGCGCGGCGGATGACCCGGAGGCCCACCACCCTGCGGTCCTCCCGGATGCGATGGCATCGGACCACTACCCATGTTGGGCAGCGACGGACCCCTCGGTGGACCGTTCTGCTGCTGAGGCGGCGGCACAGGGCGCGTCTTCTGCAGACTCTCGAACTGGGTAAGCGCCTGCTTGCTGGGATACGTCACAACCGGCGCCTGGCCGTGCATCTCCTTCTTAGGCAGCTGATCTAGCGTGGTTCGCAGGCTTGACTCCGAGCCCAGCGAGATTACGCTGAAGCCCTTCGACTGCCCGTTGGCTCGATTCTCGAAGAACTTCACTTCCTGCAAGTCTCCAACGCCGATGTCGCGGAGCGCGTTTGCTATATCCTGGTCGGTGGTCCACCAGGTGAGATTGCCCACGTAAAGCTGGTAGCGGCGGTTCATGGTCGGAGTGAGGCTACCACCGCCCTGGTGGTAAACTCCATTGGGACCGCCACCGCCGCTCGATGCCGATTCCCCGGAGCCGGGTCCGGCGGCTCCATCCCCTGAGGGTGTGCCGCCGCCGCCACCCGAGGCGGCAGCCTCTGTGGGGCCGCCAATGTCATCGTACAAGTCAACGCCATCGCCGCCAAACTCGTCCTGTGCATAAGAACAGTAAGGAATAAATAAAGCATCAAGCTAAGTAGAGTACGGTTGATCGATGTTTGGACTGTCCGTTTTGGTAGTTTCCAATATAATGAAGTGGACTCGCTTCTTGAGCTCAAACTCAAGCTCTTCAGATCACCGCATTTTCACCCCTACTTCTTTTTCGCCGCCGCACTTATCGACCCACCCTACTGTATACATACACACGCGCGCAAGGCGGCGCGACTTTTTGTTTCTCAGCTCCAGCGACTTTCTTACCTGAGCCTGCCCGGCAAAGTCCTTGTCCAGGTCCTCGGCGTACAAGTCCAAGACCACATCGGCCATCCTGAGCCGGGAAAACTTCTCTCTGTTGGCGTAAATACTATTTTTTACTTTTGCACGCTCCTACAAACACACACACACACACGGGCACACGGGGCTGTCCGTCACTGTCGCACTCTCACGTAGCCTGAGCAAGCCGGAGCCGGAATCGAAGCCGGCGGGCGTGATGTTCTCTCACACTTTCCCACGGATCAGCCTTGGTGCATTAACTAGTCACTGGCCGTTGCTCGCTGTCGTCCGTATGTACATTCACAATTATTTACATTATTCGCGTACTAATTTCCGAAATTGCAAAAGTTGTAAAATGGCGGAGCGGTTTGGTGTGACCGATTTCTTTTTAGTAGGAATCGTTGGTTTTTCGCAAAATGGTGATATTTTCTTTGCCCAAATATCGATGTTGCGATCTGGTCACTTTGAGTTCCGAAGCTGTTATTTAAAATTTCAGATTTTACATGTCTAGAAAGCTATTTTACACGTCGGAAGAAAAATAATGTATAATATTGAATTAATTCTATTAAATAAAACCCACAGATTTTTAGAAATTAGCGTTTTCTTTTCTTAACATTTTGATCCACGTTTCTTCAAAATCCGTTCAGTCGTTCATAAGAAATCCCGACTTTTTCATTTATTTCCATTTATGTAAAGGTAAAATATAAATATATCCGGCAGCCCTGCCTGCCTAAAAATAAGAAAACTTGATTTAAACTTCATGGTTAAAACTATGCAAAATGAATGTTATCCCATAGACGGCATCGCAGTTCTGGACATTTTGATACATGTTTCATTAAAATCTGTTCAGTCGTTAATGAGAAATCCCGAATTTTCATTTATTGCAGTTGGGTACCAGGGGTGCATAGTCATGCCTCCTTAGTATATAAATTAGTAATTCAAACATTAATTTCTCCAAAACGACTGAACCGATTTCGGTGAAACACCTATCAAATTGCTTAGAATAACGATATCATTTATTGGGCAGACTATTAAATGTTATTTCGAAAATTTGCTTCTCAAATCTAGTGCTTCAATGCCCTTGCTTTGTAATATGATTTCAGGTCAAAAATTTGCAACGCAGTGAATAAATTATTTCCCACCCTATAAAGTATATATATTCTTGATCAGCATCAACAGCCGAGTCTATCTAGCCATGTCCATCTGTGTGTCTGTTCAATTATAAGCATTATAGACCCTCATACTTAAAGCTATCTAAATAAATCTTTGCAGTTAGTCTTCTATATACTCTCACTAGTTAATAATGGCTTAAAATGTTTAGAACTACAGTGCCGTTTATTCCATTTTCATACATACGTCCTGCCATTAAGTTTAAATCATATTACTTTATTTAATATTCTTCGTCGAACATAACCACATACAAACATACATATGTACATTTACGGCAATAAATGAAAAAGTCGGGATTTCTCATTAACGACAGAACGGATTTTGATGAAACATAGATCAAAATGTTCAGAATTGAGATCCCGTTAATGGTACGATCTTCATTTTGCATAAGTTTTATAATAATGCTTAAATCAAATTGACTTAATTTTAGGCAGGCAGTGCTGCCAGATATATTTATTCTTCGTAGGAACATTTATGGAAATAAATGAAAAAGTGATGTTTTCTCTCGAACGGCTGAACGGATTTTGATAAAACATCTACCAAAATGCTTGGAATGTGAATTCTATTCATGGAACAGGCATATTTTATACAATTGTTTAAATGGTCAATGGGAATATTTTCTGGCGGGATATTTATCGATAGGGTGTGGGAGGCGCCCCTATCGATATGAAGCCAGTGTTTTAATTTAATTATTATTAATTAATTATTTATTAATGAGGTCGAAAAAGCGAAACACTTAAATTTGTCAAAATCTGACTGATCGAATTAAGATTTAATTCGAAATGAGAGAATATTTTTCCCTATCGTTTGAGATACATTGCAGGTTCCCATCTGGTTCCATTTTCATAGTTCGCGCCTTAGCTATCAGCCCAAATACACCACTCACTGTTATTCGATTTTCTCGAAATTTGACGGTTAAAAACAATTGAAATTTTCGCCAAATATTCGTTAATCTTCCTCTAGTAAGCCTATATACCGTGCATATGTGCACGCGTTCGTGTATCGAAGTTGTATGCCTTACAATTGTTGATGCCCTATTTTGTATGGAGCTGACCCCGAGGTTAGATCACTGTTATGCGATTTGCTCAAAAACTGACGGCTTGAAATTGAAACTTGGTAGGATAAAACTACAGACTTTAAAAACTTTACTTTTTTTAAATTAGTGCCTTACTTACTAAATAAATTAAAAATTAAAGATCCCTCCTCGTTAAACGTAATTATCCAGGATCTCAGTAAAAGAGTGGATTTTCTCTGGCCACACTTAAATTTACAGACTACGCAAGCACAGACAACGTAATTAATTTCGTAAATTCACTGAGAGTAACCGTTAAAAATTCGAAAGCCTGTTCAAAGTTAAAACTATGTAAAATTGAACCTTAAAATATTTATTTCTGCTATATTGTTTGTCGTCACTCATTAATTATTTTTTTTTCTAATATAAATAAATTACTTACTAAGCCCTGTATACTGGCTTTGGCTGAAGATCGCAATACGTTATTCCCGGTCCAAGGCAAGAGGCGAAGCCCATCATATACGGCAATGTGCTCTGCTCGTAAACGCCAGTAAATAGATGCGACCAAGGTCCTATAACAGGAGTAAACATTTAAAATTTAAATTATTTTTTGGATTTTTATAAACTAAGCTTACCGTGTGCATAGACTGCTACGTCGCCACCTCCGTGAGTCTCCTCGGTCATGGGCACACCGTGCGGATATATGGCATCCTTATCCGTAAAATCTAGGGTCCGGAGATCCACACGTTCTACTTCTCCGTCTGTAGACTTGTAGAACCTCTCGTAGTCCGGTCCGTTGGCATAGGAAATGGCGGTGTAGGGCAACTGGTCAACATTGCTCAACTCCGAATTGAGGCCAACAATGCTATTGTTCACGTCCGGATAGCCGCTGATCGTGACTGTGTGGCCGTGATCCGCACTGACCACGATCAACGTGTCCCAGGGATTCGTGAGCTGGCGGGCCTTGCGCACTGCTTCCGAAAATTGGACAGTCTCGTCCAGAGCCTTCTTGGCCTTGGTCTCGTGGTGGGCATGGTCGATGCGTCCGCCCTCCACGAACAGGAAGTAGCCGTTGGTGTCACGGGAGAGCACTTTGATAGCGGCTGCCGTCATTTCCGCCAAGGTGGGTGTGTCCACACTGTCGTCCAGGTGATAGGCCAGGTGGGAGGAGTTGAAGAGGCCCAGCAGGAAGTCTGTGTTTTGGGGATCGACGTTCAAGAGATCGGTGCGATTAAACAGTACCCGAGCATTGCCAGGCTTGCTTTGCTGCCACTCCTCAATCAGGTTCCTCCCGTCCAGCCTCTGGCCCGTGTTGCCGTACACATCCGTCGTGGAGTTGGGCAGGAACTTGATAGTGCCGCCACCCATTACCACCCGCAGTCGCTTGCCCACCCCAGCGTCAATCAGTTGCTTCGCAATGTCTGGACAATTTCCCGGATTCAGCCCTAGGTTGGTCACGTCGTAGTCGCTCTCGAAGTCGCGGTTTGAGGTGTGCGCATAAACCCCAGCCGGACTGGCATGGGTAACCCTAGTAGTGGTCACCAAGCCCGCGGATTTTCCCCCCTTGATCGCCCATTCGGCAATTGAGGAGAGTCGATTCTGGGGCTTCCGCGCAGCAGGACAGTCATTCAACTCCACGTCGGCTGTCACACCAATGGTCAAATAATTGGCCTTGATCCCAGACAGATAGGCAGAGGCCGTGCAGGCGGAGTCGGCTACTTGCTTGTTGACGCAGTACGTCTAGAATGGGAAAAGGCGGCAGGATAAGACGGATTAGAGAGCATTATGCAAAATTAAGATTTAAGCCAACTGATCAACCTACCTTAGAGAGACCCACATAGTTGAACTTCTCAAACTCCAGCTGGTTACGTTCGCCCACCACTCCTCGAAGTTGTCCGTCAAAGATGCGTCCAGCGGTAACCGTAGGCACGGACATTCCATCGCCCAGAAAGAATATCACATTCTTGGCCCGATATTGATTTGGAGGCGTTGATAGCTTCTCGTAAAGTGTGTGCTGGGCATCATGGAACCAAAATTCCTTGTTTTTCAGCTCGGCGGTGGAGCGCAGATCCCACGAACGGTCTGGAAATTAAAAAAATATGTTTATAATAGGGATTTCTTACCAGAAATATAAAATTTACATTATCGTTACAAAATTATATGCTTCCAATTGAAAGTTGTGATTAAAATGAAGCGTCGTTACTGTAAAAGCTGATATGCAAATGAGTTCAAGTACAAACTGGAGAATTTTAAAATTCTGTTCACATCTGTTTCTGTTTTTTTTTTTACGAAATACCTCAGCACAACAGTTTTGTTTTGAACTCCGCTTTCGAATCAATTGTTTAAAAGTGAAATTCTATTCAGAAAAGAAATGAATTGTCTAATGACAAGAGAAAACAATTTGGAAATGTAATATAAATAATATATAAGGTTAAGTCTGTTCAGAAGATTAATGCACAAATATTTATAAAATGTTATAGAGCAGTTTTATAATTTATTTTTGAATTGAACTTTTGATTATGTTGTTTTTAGTTAAACCCTTTTGTTAACTCCTTAATTTGTTTCCCCTCGAGTTTAATATTTGGTAGAACTGTTGGTGGAGCGCGGTGTTAAATATTTAAATTAATTTATTTCTTTGACGCCTCTATATTCTTTTTAGCACTTGATTAATCAATTCTGCATATGTTTCGTGTTTGCTTTCGGCTCGCCCGATCTTTTGCTCCATGAGGGTGATAATGATGATGTCGTCACGCACCTGGCCCATATCTATATTGACAGGTACACGCCGTGAGCTGGAGGGCAAGTGGTAGCCAGAACCGGAGAGCACTCATCGTCGACGGACGGAATTTCGATTAAGTCAACTTTCAGCGTTACCAACCGCTACCAGGTCTGCGGACCGACTAAGCCGCATTTCGGCACGGGATGCTTATTTATAAGTCACCCGAAATGCGAGACAAATTACCAAAGCACTGCTCAGGCAATAAATTAGGGCCCGCCCCTGCCTTAGAAAGCTTCTAAATGAACTTTTCGGTTGCCCTTATTTAAATTTAAGATGCATATGTTAGCCTGATTACCTGTTAGTTTCTTCCCAAATCAGGTTTGTGTTGCATCTGTCATTTGCATAAAGGTTAATCGTGGTGGCAGATGATGTAATTAGTGGAGATCCAGGGCTAACATAATGTCTCCAAACTGAATTTGTCTCATTTAAAATGTGCATCGAAATGATGGGGAATATGGGTTCATTAACCCCTATCCAGATTCTAACACCGGATACTGGTTGCATTTTGTGTATTTTTGTATATTGTTTATTAACTTGACTAAGGTTTAACGGCGAAAGTCTCAAGCTTTTGTTTTTAACAAAAAAACTGGTTGCACTTAATTTGTCTACCAGTTCTAAGACTCTGGAATCTACTGGTTTCTGAATGTACGCGACTCAGTTAAGTAATTACAATTTTAATTAATTTATTGTTTAAATTTTTTGATAAACAATATGTTAAATTATTTTCTTGTATTAGAGCTTTGACCCATTTAATTCGTTCTTTGACCTCTTGATAAGAAATTTACCATGTTATTATACCCCTGCAGGGTAATCTAATTTTATTCAAAAGCTTGTAACGCTGTGAAGAAGTCGTTTCCGAGCATATAACTTGTATATATTCTTGATCAGCATTAACAGCCGAGTCGATCTAGCTATGTCCGACAAAAATTTAATTTTTTCAAAATTTTACAAATTTTATAAGGGGTATCATCGTTAAAATTAGCAATAGTTGACAAAAATTTTAAAATTAAAAATTGAGTATGCAGATTTATAAAAAAAATTAAAACTAACACAGATCAGCTTTCCGAATTGAAATTAATGCCTAATTGGCGTAGTTATGCGATTTTTAAACTTTGGTTTTTTTGGTTCTGTAAATAATTTGATTTACACATATTCATTATATTGTATAAGACTATTTAAAATCACGCGCCGTACAACTAGTGTTGAACAACGCAGTACAGTCTTATAAAAACCTAACAGGAGCGTTTTTCTTACGTTCTCGCCAAGGTGTGACCAGCTGCCTTTCTCTTTCGCTGACGTTTATCAGTATTTCAGGAAGGCGACCACACTGCACTTTGTAAAAGACAAAAATTGCAATTTGGCATCGTTTTATCAACAAATTATACGTTTTACTTGCGGAAATGTGTAACTAAGAGGAGTTAGTGCCGGGCATTCGACGAAGGTCACCCAGTAGACAACAGCAGGCAGCCACAAAGGCGGGTGGGTGGCAGCAAACAAAGAGGCGAAACACCCGAATAAAGACAAACACACACACTGTCAAACATCTCGACAAACAAACAGAACCTGGCTGAGACGCAGAAGTGATATAAGTTGAAAGGCCAAGCAACTAATTCGATTGCCAGCCCCCAACTTGTCCAGGAACGCGAACGTGAAAGCTGCTTGTTGCGCCAGGGAATAAGCGAAGGTCAGCAAGGTGTCTGCCTACGAAAGCATGGACTTGCAGCATATGGAGAATGGCCTCAGCGGCGGGGGCGGAGGAGGCGGAGGCGGTGGCCTCAGTGAAATAGACTTCCAAAGGCTGGCGCAAATCATCGCAACCAGCATCCAAAAGGTGCAGCAAAATGGTATGTTTGCTCTAAAAGTGTTCTCTGTACAACTTTCCCCAATGACTAATCTGATTTTGCCAACAGTCTCCACCATGCAGCGCATGGTTAATCAACTGAACACGCCCCAGGATTCCCCGGAACTGAAGAAGCAACTGTAAGTTATGTTTTATTTTGAATAATTTGTAAAATTTCAAAGGAAATCCATTTAAATAAGAAAATTCAATCTGCAATTCAGGCATGTTTATAATTTGTGAAAATCCCATTTATAGTATTTATTCTGACGTCAAAACTAGAACATTGGTTTGTGATTCATCCTTCAAAACCTAAAACGAAAATGGTAAACAATTCTCATAATTTTCTCCCCTGCACAGCCATCAAATAATGACCTACACCAACCAGCTGGTGACCGACACAAACAATCAAATCAACGAGGTGGACAAGTGCAAGGAGCGCCACCTGAAGATCCAGCGGGACCGACTGGTCGATGAGTTCACGGCGGCACTGACCGCCTTCCAGGTTTGTTTTTTGTTTTCTTCTTTCTCTTGCTACGAGATAAGCAAATCGCCTTTGTGAGTCATGTCCAAATGTTTATCGATTTCGTATTTTTAGGCCGTCCAGCGCAAGACTGCGGACATAGAGAAGAGTGCGCTACGGCAGGCGCGGGGCGACAGCTACAACATCGCCCGCCCGCCCGGGTCCTCGCGCACCGGAAGCTCCAACAGCAGCGCCAGCCAACAGGACAACTTCTTCGAGGACAATTTCTTCAATCGCAAATCAAACAACCAGCAGCAGCAACAGCAGCAGACGCAGATGCAGGAGCAGGCGGACCTGCAGGCGCTGGAGGAGCAGGAGCAGGTCATCCGTGAGTTGGAGAGCAATATTGTGGGGGTCAATGAGATTTACAAGAAGTTGGGTGCCCTGGTCTACGAGCAGGGACTGACGGTTGATTCAATTGAGTCACAGGTGGAGCAAACAAGCATTTTCGTCTCACAGGGAACCGAGAATTTGCGCAAAGCGAGCTCTTACAGGGTAGGTTGTACCTCATGTCATACTAAGAATCGATTTAAACGTTCATTCGACTTTTCAGAACAAGGTGCGCAAGAAGAAGCTGATCCTGGTGGGCATCCTGGCCGCAGTGCTCTTGGTCGTCATCTTGATACTCGTCTTTCAGTTCAAGAACTAAACTAAATCCGAATCATTCAAACCAAAACTAGTAAATATTGTTGTGAAAAGACAAGAGTTGCCGCATACAGGCCCCTAACCCTATCCCCCTAACACACCCCACCATTGGACCTTAGGCGCATTTGTGGCTTCAAAACCTTAAACCTCCACTTCCATTACTTGGCTAAAGATCGAGCAACTCGGTAACTAAGGCAAAGGCAAGGAGTATTCACCGAACAAGTGCATATACGTTATATTCGCTTTAAAATTATATTATCTTATCTTTTATATTGTCTATACTATTATTATTACGCACCCTGTATATTGATATATTGATTAACAACTGTGTTGGCTACAAATTCTAACAATATGTTCCAAAACTCATTCGCCAGCGCTTAATATATGGTATTTAGATTTAAGAAGAGGCAGAGAGGAAGATCCATACAATCCATGTACGAAAAGTGAAATAATAAAAACGAGAAAACTGATATCGCAGCGCTATCCTTTGCCTGGAGCACTTCATTTAAAGCCCTCCCGACCTGAATGAATCAATGAATGGAACACACTCGCCAGCCAGCTCTCTTTAGGGCATTCGAAAATGTGCCTGGTCATCGACTCCTCCTTGGCTTGGTTCGGCTCGGCTCAGCGATCATTAAGATTTCGTGTTGGCCATTGTTACGCATGCTTTAGCGGCTTAGGAGCGATCCCGATCCCGATCCGACTGGGTGTTCGACACTGGCACATTAATGCCGCAGCAGACCTGGATGCGGTGGACCCACTTCAGTTGCAGTCGCTCCGACGCCCGTTGCCCATTGCCACTTTCCCCCTGCCCCCCAGCCGGTCGTTGAGGTGTGTCAGCACTGTGTCCAAGCTAAAGGGTTTCCTCGCCTCGACACTCTGCTGGCCTGCATACAAATTGAGTTTAAATTTTTTGCCAATTCACTGACATTGATAGTTCGTTTGGGCATCATTTGTGTGGTGGCTTCTTATCCACTTGTTGGCATCGAGTGGTTTTCTCGCATGCATTTAAGTGCAGCTCATTTCCTTCTCCCAACTCGCCCCCGGGGGCCTCGCCAACAATCATTTACCGCCGAGTCATCTAGTTATTTGTGGCCCAAGACGAGTTACTTCTCTGTTTGGAAAGAGGGGTATATGGAATCATTCATTGGATGTGTAAATAATAATTGCTAGTTAAAGTTCAGTTTAAGCTGCTAATGAGACTTGAAATGAAAGATAGTCAAAGGAAAAGGTTTAAATAATTTGATGTTGAGATTATGCTAATAGAAAATGTTTACACTTAAAAGGGGCTGTTAAATAAAGTGAATATTTAGTGAACGTGATTCTTATCGTATCTCTGTGAACTGGAATTAATTAATAAAATTTTTGTAAATAAAGTTGTCATTTTTAAAAATAAAAAAAAGGAACAAACTTGAATGTAAAATTGCTTAGAAAGAGAGCCAGTCTTCTTTCTCACCAATTTTCTTCACAAAAAAGATTCAAAAAATGTTTCTTATCAGCATTTATAAAACTAAAACTCAAATTACGAGTTCTGTACAATCAACTCTTATGTATTATATTTTTATTATTAACGCTAAACTTCTTTAAAAATTAAAATTAATTAAAATTAAAAATTAAATTTTAAAAGAAGAGTATCTGAACCTCGATGATCATTATCCCAACCGATCTTGGTTGTTTCTTTTGGGCCTGCTTGGCTGTCAGTGGCTGTCCAAATACGTCACCGAGTTGCCCGTCCGGACCGATTGGGAATTATTGATTGCTCGTCCATGGGGGCCAAGGGTTAGGCTATAGGCCCCGCCGGGTCTTCCATAACTCAGACGGCACGGCCTAATCACATCGATTACGGCTACATGCGGCACTTGGCAGCTCGGACACCCATTCAGTCGAGGACACGGCCGAAACGAAATCCCTAACCGTAACCCGGTCCAAATCCAGCCCCGGGGCCACAGGTCACGTTGCGCGAGTCGAGTGTCGGGGAGGTGTTGGAAATTAACAGAAACTATGCACACCTCCGCCAGCAGCAGGTAGTCCTGACCGCTCCTGCTGCTGTTTGCACATCCCACACATCCCATGATAATATTGACATCTTCGGTGGCCAGGACTCTGCCGGCTGAATCTCATTTGCAAAGTCATTTTGTCTAAATAAATCCAGCCTCCCACGACCTCCTGGGTTCCTCTCGGGTCTTTTCCCAACTTGAACCGCATGTTTTGACTTTGGCGGAGAATGGCCGGACAGGGAAATTCCGTAACTGGCTAAGCGGCGGATTGACTTACCAACTTGCTGGCCAGGATTTGGGCAGTGGGAAAATGGGAAATACTGTGGGGACATATTGGGTTTCTTTCCGGCGGCTGCCGTTGCGGTTGAGCCCTGTTAATCCCGTCACAATTCACACGTTGCTTAGGATCCCTTCCATAACGTTGATGATGATGTGTGCAGCGTATAAACATCCGGTTTGTGGCATTTCCCAAATCAATAAACTTATTATTATCCCATTTCCACCAAGTACGCGTGCATTTTTATTTGGAAAAATTCTTAATTAAGCGTCTGCCTCTCGCACTCTCTTCGTTTTTATGAATGAAGTGGAATGAATATATGTTTGCCCACGCGTTCTCCACCCCATCATCAGTGATTTCTTTTGCTTTTACAGAATTTTAAGTGGAATTACTTGGCTAGCAAGGCGAAGCTGTGTAAATCTTTTGAATTTTTATTAAAAACAAAAAGTTTCGTTTGATTGTTCCGTTTTACCTGTCCAAGGGATCGATGCGGGGGAGGGGAGGGGGGCCAAGCACTTGATGCCCAACACTTTCGACAGTTTTATTAATGAAATTCGCAGAAAAAATTATCCACTGATGTGCTGCATCTCACTCTTCTCCTAAGGTGTTGCTCTTACTCACACAGTTTCCTTTCTACACAGAGAGATAAATTAAGATAATTAGGCATTAAAAGAGTATGAGCAATTTTGTGCATAATTATATATATTTTATTAAAACTTAATCTTCTATAAGATGCTTTGATAAGCTAAAGTTTGAAGGTCATTGCATGGGTATAAACATAAGACTGTATTTTTAGGAACTTGTTGATTAGTACAAAACTTTGTTCAACTTAACATATCTTAAGTGTTCAATGTATTATCAAGTTTCAAATGTTTTATAGTTGCAAATAGTATAGTATATATTATATGTATATTTTTTCCCCTGTGCAGCTGCGATTTTATGAACTGCTCGAACTGCTCCTCCCCCATCAGTCGCCCCCTTGGCCACCCCCTTTGGTCCAGCTGGCGGCGCACACTTCTAAACAAATTGGGTGTCAAAAAGTGCGCACATTTCAAAAGATTTAACCGTTTTGCAGGCACCATTCGCTGGCCTTTGATCTTTGCCGCCCCCAAACGGCAGACGCCGCTGCCGGTGCCCGTTTATGTGGTTGCCACTGTGGCAGCACAGTGGAGCCTGCTGCCCCCCCTTGGCAGGCAGGCACAGTGGGTGTGGCATTTCTTAAGGGAGAACAGGTATTAGAGTTCCCCACCCTCTAGAACTCATAGGTTTTTATTGGACAACAATAACATTATAGTAATGTGTACTATAAAGATAAGTACTTGGTTTTATGTTTCATGGAGAGCTTCTGGTATCTAAATTATTATTATATGTGGGATTGGGTATAATAAATTAAGGTACTTGATTTTTTGAAACATTCATAATGGTTATAAATCGATAATATGTTATATGCATCATTAGGTGTTCCATTTAGGAGGTTTCTTTAAAATGTTGCAAAATTGGGAAAGCCCAACTAAAACTAATACATTTTTCAATAATTTCCCAAAATTCCGGGTAACCGTTTATGGAACCAATTCACCCACTGTAAAATACTGTCTGCTCTGGTCTTCTCTCAATATAAACACGATCCGCAGATATATCTTTTATCCGATTCGCTTTATACACATACATATACCACGCGTCTTCGCCGCCTCCGCCGTATGTCGAACTGTGTGAGAAAAGCGTCAACACAGCATTGAGATATAGTTGCAAAAAAAGGAACAATTTCGCGAAGAGACTGTTTTTTATATAAATTAGCAGGCAGTACGATCCCCTCGTAGCTATCGCTCCCCGGGCGGGATTACGACTACAAACAGATCAGGGGATCAAGCCGAGCGCATCTGAGGCGCAACTGTAACGGTGGCGGTATTGAGATATCCAAAGCCGCAGGCGAGGATTAAAGTCCGTTGGACAATGGGATGGATATGGCACAGTTGGGATGGGATATAGATCGAGGATGCCACCGTGCTCGAGTTTGCCATTCTTTGGCCATCTATTCTCTGCGGAAAGGTGATATAATGCGACTCCTGGGATGGAGGAGAAGTATCTATCGTTGCTTTTGTTGGGTAATTTTGTTTGTTTACGAATTGGCAACAAAAAACGCCAGACAAAAGGCCATGGTTGTAGTTCACTGGGTTCGCACACGTACCAAAAAAAAAACCCTAGAAAAGAAAACTGAATCAATCAAATAGAAGCTGCAATAACAAAGTGATCAATGATCATCATCGTATGATCAGACCCGGGAACATCTTAATACTCCCAGCCTGTCAAATTATTTCTGGCTGCCCATTTTCATCTCGCCTCGTTTATCGTTTTTTGATTGTTTCTGTAAAAAAAAATAAAAGAAAATTGTTCTCTGTTTTTCTTCCTTTTCGCCTTTTTGCTTTTCCGCTTTTCCGTTGGCGTTTTTCCATCCACCCCAACTAATTGTGCCTGACATTAATGTCACTCTGCATTAAATATAGCCTCCAGCATCTTCTCCCACCTCCTGCTCCATTTCATATTTGGGAGTAAGGGTCCCCAAGACTATATAGCTTGCTATATGGGATCGGTGTCGGAAGATCTTGGTTCTGCTTCTGGGGAGGGAACTTTGGCTTTGCCTTAGCAACGTGTTGACAGCCAGTGACAGACACATTCATTTAGCCGGAATGATTCATATTCCAAAAGAGGGACAGGGACACTGATCTGACAAATGGCTGGCTAATTTGAAGAGTATTAGACCAAGTGATTTAGGGCTTCGACTTGCGGCTAGTTGGGCTTCATCAATAAAATGGCTGACTGGCACTTGGTTAGGCATGATTTTGGATAATTTATGGGAGTCAATTGATTTATTAATTAATAAGGGCAAGGGAAAGGATCTCTTGAACCAAATCTTTGAAAAATTATATCGCAATTTAGATTTATTAAATTAGATTACACGTTAACTAGAAAGGTTATTCTCGGGAAACCGAATTTTCAATAACTTGCAATGAAATTATATCATAACTCGGTCAAAAATGGATTATATTCAGATCGGAAAGCTTTTCTGTTCTGGATTTACAAATCTCCATACTAAATTTAAATTTTAAAATTTATAAAATTTTTTCTCACAATTTTTGAAAATTTTAACGATGTAACCCCTTATAAAATTTAAAAAATTTTGAAAAAAATTAATTTGAGC